CTGGGCCCCCCAGCAGGCCTCGAAAGTGGCGACCGGTTCACAGATCGCAGCCCCCCCAGGGATGGCGAGGTTTAATTTGAATCTGCCCGAGGCGTCACTGTGCTGGCCCCCCCCAGCAGGCCTCGAAAGTGGCGACAGTTTCACAGATCGCAGCCCCCCAGGGATGGCGAGGTCAGGCGTCACTGTGCTGGGCCCCCCAGCAGGCCTCGAAAGTGGCGATCACAGATCGCAGCCCCCCAGGGATGGCGAGGATCCGCCCGTGGCGTCACTGTGCTGGGCCCCCCAGCAGGCCTCGAAAGTGGCGACCGGTTCACAGATCGCAGATCGCCCCCCCGCAGGCAAGACAGGAGGAGGCAAGAGGGAGGCGGGACGGAAGGAGGGAGTGGAGACCACACTGCTCATTTCAAAACGAATACCCAAACCAAGGAGGGTTGGGAATTACCCTGGCGACGTACCCAACCCCTGCGCAAACGCAAGGCGCAAATAGTTTAGGATGTCTGCAGACGGAATTCGGGAGACTCGCAGGACACTGGCTACAGGACAAGGACTAGATAAAGCTGATTAGTTACAATCCCTGAGCAACCCTAGCCACTTCGACAGCGGGGATCTCAGATCGCAGCCCCCCATGGATGGCGAGGTCTAATTTGGGTCCGCGCGTGGCGTCACTGTGCTGGGCCCCCCAGCAGGCCTCGAACGTGGCGACAGTTTCACAGATCGCAGCCCTCCAGGGATGGCGAGGTCTAATTTGAATCTGAGTGTGGCGTCACTGTGCTGGGCCCCCCAGCAGGCGTCGAAAGTGGCGACAATTTCACAGATCGCAGCCCTCCAGGGGTGGCGAGGTTTAATTTGGGTCTGCGCGTGGCGTCACTGTGCTGGGCCCCCCAGCAGGCCTCGAAAGTGGCGACAGTTTCACAGATCGCAGCCCCCCCAGGGATGGCGAGGTCTAATTTGCATCTGCGTGTGGCGTAACTGTGCTGGGGGGCCCCCCAGCAGACCTCGAAAGTGGCGACAGTTTCACAGATCACAGCCCCCCCAGGGATGGCGAGGTCTAATTTGAATCTGCGTGTGGCGTCAGTGTGCTGGGCCCCCCAGCAGGCCTCGAAAGTGGCGACAGTTTCACAGATCGCAGCCCCCCCCATGGGCGGCGAGGACGAATTTGAATCTGCGTGTGGCGTCACTGTGCTGGGCCCCCCAGCAGGCCTCGAAAGTGGCGACAGTTTCACAGATCGCAGCCCCCCAGGGATAGCGAGGTCTATATGAATCTGCGCGTGGCGTCACTGTGCTGGGCCCCCCAGCAGGCCTCGAAAATGGCGACAGTTTCACAGATCGCAGCCCCCCAGGGATGGCGCGGTCTAATTTGAATTTGCGCGTCGCCTTCACTGTGCTGGGCCCCCCAGGAGGCCTCGAAAATGGCGACAGTTTCACAGATCGCAGCCCCCCCAGGGATGGCGAGGTCGATTTTGAATCTGCGCGTCGCCCTCACTGTGCTGGGCCCCCCAGCAGGCCTCGAAAGTGGCGACAGTTTCACAGATCGCACCCCCCCCCAGGGACGGCGAGGTCTAATTTGAATCTGCGCGTCGCCCTCACTTTGCTGGGCCCCCCAGCAGGCCTCGAAAATGGCGACAGTTTCACAGATCGCAACCCCCCGCAGGCAAGACAGGAAGAGGCAGGGAGGGAGGGAGGGAGGAGGAAGAAAGGAGTGGAGACCACACTGCTCTATTCAAAACGAATACCCAACCAAGGAGGGCTGGGAAAAATGAAACCTCCAAGGGTCTTGCGAAATCGTCGGAATCGGTAAAACATATCCCGACAAAGCAACCTAACAGCGATGCGTAGGAGCATGTATGGAAGCATTCACCTTTAAGATTCAGATGATAATCCAGTTGTAGAATTCTGCTGTTCTCGCAGTCGTAGTCGCATTCGCGATGACATTCGCAGCGGCAACGGCAGTCGCAGTCACAGCCTCAGCCTCAGCCTGCCTCAGCCTCAGCCTCAGCCTGCCTCAGCCTCAGCCTGCCTCAGCCTCAGCCTCAGCCTGCTTCAGCCTCAGCACCAGTCTGCCTTCAGCCTCGGCCTCAGCCTGCCTCAGCCTCACCCTGCATCAGCCTCAGCCTCAGCCCAGCCTCAGCCTGCCTCAGCATCAGCCTGCCTCAGCCTCAGCCTCAGCCTGCCTCTGCCTCAGCCTCAGCTTGCTTCAGCCTCGGCCTCAGCCTGCCGTCGGCCTCGGCCTCAGCCTGCCTCAGCCTCAGCCTGCATCAGCCTCAGCCTCGGCCTCAGCCTGCCTCAGCATCAGCCTGCCTCAGCCTCAGCCTCAGCTTCAGCCTCAGCCTCAGCCTGCTTCAGCCTCAGCCTCAGTCTGCCTGCAGCCTCGGCCTCAGCCTCAGCCTGGGCCTGCCTTGACCTCAACCCCAGCCCCAACCTGCCTCAGCCTCAGCCTGCCTCCTCGGCCTCAACCTCAGCCTGCCTCAGCCTCAGCCTCAGCCTGCTTCAGCCTCAGCCTCAGTCTGCCTTCAGCCCCGGCCTCAGCTCGCCTCAGCCTCAGCCTGCATCAGCCTCAGCCTCAGCCTCAGCCTGCCTCAGCATGAGCCTGCCTCAGCCTCAGCCTCAGCCTGCTTCAGCCCCAGCCTAAGTCTGCCTTCAGCCTCGGCCTCAGCCTCCGCCTGCCTCAGCCTCAGCCTTTATCAGCCTCAGCCTCAGCCTCAGCCTCCCTCAGCATCAGCCTGCCTCAGCCTCAGCCTCAGCCTCAGCCTCAGCCTCAGCTTCAGCCTCAGCCTCAGCCTGCTTCAGCCTCAGCCTCAGTCTGCCTTCAGCCTCGGCCCCAGCCTCAGCCTGCCTCAGCCTCAGCCTCAGCCTCAGCCTGCCTCAGCATCAGCCTGCCTCAGCCTCAGCCTCAGCCTGCCTCTGCCTCAGCCTGCTTCAGCCTCACCCTCGGCCTGCCTTCAGCCTCGGCCTCAGCCTCAGCCTGCCTCAGCATCAGCCTGCCTCAGCCTCAGCCTCAGCCTGCCTCAGCCCCAGCCTCAGCCTGCTTCAGCCTCAGTCTGCCTTCAGCCTCGGCCTCAGCCTCACGGGTTGGGGGGGGGGGGGGGGGGGGGGGGGCAGACAGAATGACCAATTGCCCCTTCGCTCTTACGCAATGCGCCGAAGCTGGTTTATGCGTTCTTGGATGCGCAGCGCGTCAATATCCAAAGGCGCCATGTGCCGCTCTAGTTCCGTGAGTTTTGCCTCCGTGAGTCATTCCAAATGCCGCGCCCCCACGCGGGGCTGCCCGTCGTAGGGTCGGAGGCGTCCGCCGCGAAACTCCTCTGCACGCTGTGCTCGGGATAGCGGCGCTGCCTCTGCAGTGGCGCCGACTGCAGGTGAAACCACGTCGTCAATGCAATTATGAGTCCGAATGTAAGCAACATTGTTCATAGTAGGTGCAGCGACGCCACCTCCACCAATGGGTGAAACTATGGGTGCGACTCTGCTCATGTGCTGTGTTTGCCAGGCGCGGTGGCCCTTGGCGCCCCCCTTGGGCGCTGCGCCTCCGCCCTTGGTTGGAATGTGAAAGAGGGGGTCTGCAGCGGGGGGTCTTCAATGGGGGCTGAATGGCCCATGTGTGCTCAATGCGTCGCTCATGCATGTGATCGGGTACGATTGGCATCCAATGTTGGCGGTCATTGAGGGCCAATCGTTCGCGCCCGCGCGTTGCCGGCGCGGGCGCGCGCGCCGTCCATCCATTGTCGTTCACGCGCGCGGGAGTTCTTGCATATTGCGCGCGGGGCGGCGAAGTGGAGTGCAAGTGTGTCTTGATTCTGCGATTGATGATCGCGCATGTTCCCCAGCGATGACTTCTCGACCCCCAAGACAGATTTGGAATGGGTCCCGCGTTTCTCCCAACATGTGATTCACATGTTCCTCTTTTCCCAAACTGTGAATTCGCAATTCCTTTTTTCGTCGCATTCTGGCCCCTTCATAAATAATCCGACACAGAATTTCCAAATGTAAATTCACGCTTCCATTTTCCCAGAATGTGAATTCACGTGTTCCTTTGTTCCAAAATGTGAATTCACAGTTTACTTTCCCCCACAATGGGAACTCGCATGTTGCCCTGGCCTTTAAGATCCCCCAAACTGAGACGCAGTGTTCCGCATGTCGGATTGGCTGGGCAGATTTCGACACTCACCTGGCCGCTGTCGTTTGTTCCAGCCTTTTCTCTTTGCGCCCTCAACGCGGGCTGCCTGCGTCGCCTTTCCCGAGCCCCCCGCCCCCTTGCATCCCCCACCCATCGGGTCTCGCGCGTGGGCACAAGCGGGGGGCTTCAATTGGTTCCCCCGCCGAACACAGCAATCGAGGGTGCATCGCCCATTCATGGCCCATGAAGACATCATTGCCGGGGCCTTGCGCGCGACCCCCACTTTCACCCTCCAACTTGGTGCCATTCATGCCCTTCGCCGCCTTCGCCAGTTCCTCGCTTTCACGGCCAGCTCCTTGATCATGGGGTGATCGTGGAGCTCAGTCCACGTTTCCCACCCCCCCTGCCAATCGCATTGAAACGCGTTGCCAACCGCTGTCGCCGTCAGCGCGCGGTCGCCCGACCTTCACGATGCGCGGCGACTCGTCGCTGACAGAGACCGTTTGCGGCACCCCCCACTCCTCCTTCAGCGCGCGCTTCAGGCCAGAACATCCGCGCCGCCCTCTGTGCTAGCGACCGGCCCTGGGACGCCCGCGCTTTCTTGCCCCCGCTGGTGAAGCCAGCGCTCCAGAGCAAATCCACGGAACGATCCCGAAGTGCAGGCGACTGGAATTCTGCGAACACGATGCCATTGAAGTCGCCTTTGGCGCGCGCCTTCATCGAGGCCGGGCCGCAGGTGGGAGAGCTTATCCTGCAACCGCGCGGTGGCCTTCGTCAGGTCCTCGAGCCCGTCCAAGTTGCCGATGGCCATGTCCGCGGCCCTCTTGTCCACCGGGTCCGTGGCCCAGTTCGCGCTGCCCCCTCTGTGCTGCGAACCCTCCTTCGCCAGGTAAGCCGCGATGCACTCGTGGATCTTGGCCCCCATCGCGTCGATGTTCGATGAGGCGGTTTCTTCCAGAGCCTTGCGCATGAACTCGAGCTTGCCCATGCGAACGTTCGCCAGATTCAAGCGCTGCTCCATGGTGTCGAAGCGCTCCGAGATGGCCACCCGCATCTCCACGACGCAATGGTCCAACTCCGCGAAGTCGTCGCGGGACCCGCTGGCTGCCAAACCGTCTCCAGCTGCTCCTCGATGGGGGGCTGCGATCCCTATCGCGGTGACCTTCTCCCCAGAAACCTCGGCGCCCCCGAACTCCAGCTTGCCATTCGCCCCGTCGTCTCAACCCCGTCCATCTCGTTCAGCGGGCAGTGGGCGCGGTGAGCTTTGACTCCGCGGCCCTTGGGCGCCTCCTCGAACGGGTTCGAGAGAAGGTGGCGGACGGGGTGCCCGGGCGCCTCGCGTTGCTGGACGTCGCGGCATCCGATGCGACAGGAACCATGGAGTCAGGGAAATATGTCGAGAGTTCGCTCTCCAGATCCAATCCCGCCACTCCAGGGCCTCCCCGAGAAACCCAAATCTCTCAAACAACTAAGAACATTGATTGCGCGCGTCTTCTCGCCGCCTCGCTATCGACGCGCTTTTGGAAGCGTCGATGTGGCCCCAAAGTGTTCCGAGAGAGCGCCGAGAATGGCCCGAGAAACAAACAACACGGCCCCAACACGCCCAAGACCGCCGCAGAAAAAAATGCCCACGAGCGCATCAAGAGGCGGCGTTGAGGGCCCCCTGTGTGTGTGTGTCTCTGTGTGTGTGTGTGTGTCTGTGTGTGTCTGTGTGTGTGTGTGTGTGTGTGTGTGTGTGTGTGTGCGTGTGTGTGTGTGTTTGTGTGTTTGTGTGGGTGTGTGGGTGTGTGGGTGGGGGGGCCTAGATCGCCCCTCCCCCCCCTCCTTTGATCGATAGCCCCGACACGAAAACCCCACAAAAGGGCTCCAGAAGGGCCCCACGAGGGCCCCAAGGCGGCCCCAAGAGGCCCCAAACGAGCCACACTTTGGTTCCAAGAGGCGATTCTGAAAGCTCCTGTGGGGGGGGGGGGCGGCGACATCGAGGACCCCTCCTCACTTGATCGACGCCCTCCGGACTGTCGCCCAAAATGTCCCGATGCAGCACGATGGCCTCCAAGATGGTTCAGCGCCCTCCTCCCCCTCCTCTCATTGGCCTCTCGGTTTCACTGCATGTGTCTCTTCTCTCCATTGCCCGACAACTCTCGTAGGCAAGGCTTCTGAATGGGCTGGCGGTGGTACTTTTTTGGCGCGCGGGCGCGCGAAGACGACCCGAACGCCGCGCAAGCTTGGGCGGGCCGCGCTGGAACAGAGGGCTGGTGGGGATTTTTGATCGCGACCGTAGCGACAAATCGCTCGGCGTCAAGTCAGCGCGCACCTAACGAGCAACTGGCGGGGATACTATTTTCCGGTCGCGTCCGCCAGCGAGAGCGCCAGCGGAGTCAGAAGCGTTCCGGGACAATGATATGTTTTTATTTTGTTCGGCGGCTCCAAGGATAGGTCCAAGGAGCGGGATAGTCGTCTGGGGCACAGAGCGAGATAATTGGCTGCAGTGGCACGCAGGCCGCTGAAGCGAGTGCACATGCCAGGGACAAAGTGACCCTCGTTGGGGACCAACCCAGGCATCCCAGCGGAAGGGGACGCGAGCGTGGTACCGGCGGCGGCCAAGTAGGAGCAGTCGCCCTTACGGCGTCAAGCTCCAGCCGAACCGCACAGCACGAAAAGGCGGGGAGCGACAGAGCGCACTGTAGCGGCACGGGGTGGCCAGGACGAGACCGAACTCGGCCAAGTCACACGGAGGGCGGGCAAGAGGGAGCGGGAGAGCCGCAGCGGATGCCAGCCGGACACCCAACGGCAGGAAAAAGGGGAAAGGCACATAGAGGGCCTCACTCGCGGTGACTCACTGTCGCAGACGTCAAGTCTGCCGCTCTTGAACGCGAGAGCGAGGGGAACCCAGTCAGCGAACCTGACGTCAAAGCCGCCTGCGTCCACAGCGTGCAACTTATCCGACACGCAAGGTCGGGGGCACAAAGTTGAACGCGTTGACCGACGCACCTGCAGAGGGACCAGCTGGGGGAACTGTGATGACCTGCCAAACGATGAACCACTTGTGCAGGAACACGCCCATGCCAGGCCCGGCATCGGGTGGTACCAGAAGCGGGTGGGGTGCGCCAGTCTTCTCGTACGCGAAGTCAAACCCCTGTAGCGCCCTGACACGTACCATGTGGATCAGGGCGACCCGCAGGAGGGGGTGGCCCTGCTAGCTGCTGAAGCGGTGACGTGGGGAGGTTGAGCGGTCTGGTGGGGATACGCGAAGCGTACAGAATTAGACTCTCTCCCCCCGCCCTCCTCCACCCACCCCGTCATCCGCCAAGCGCGCGCTACGCGCCATAGATGAAGTGCGGATCCGTGGATCTGGCGCGTTGTCGCCAGATCCACTGATCGGGGAAAGTACCCCCCGAACTATAAAGCTAATTCAGCCTAACTTGGCGACGGAACGCGTCGATGTTGTATGAAAGCTGGACCCGTCGCTGATCCGCCCGCCTCAATCTCTGGTTGCGCTCTCGCGAATCCGCGAAGCCACCGACTCCAATTGCTGCTCGCTCTCCCCCCCTGGAACAGGGGAAATGCCGGCCCTCCACAGGTCACGGACGACTGAAGACAATGGGAGCCGCCACCACGCTCGAGACACATCATCGAATATGCTCATCCCGAACCACTGGGGCTAGCCCGATCACTCTTTTCAGAGAAATCGCCTGTGTCTCACAGTGCGCCTCAGGTACGCAGCGCCGCGACGAACACCTGGGAGGACCCATAGCAATGCTTGGTCCCTGCGGTTATGCTAAGCAGTCTAAGCCCTGGGTGCACCGACGATAAAGAATGCGATCAGAAGGAATGCGATGACGGAGCAAGATCTGTGGTCCTGGACGCCGCAATAAGGGCAACGCCAAAAGGTGGGCAGCGATTATCCCCTGGAAGCTGTCAGGAAGCAAACGCCCCGATGGACTGACTCATCTGGGTCATGCTTCACTCGATCGCACGCGCATCGGGTCATATAATGCTCCCCGCCCCACCAAGATCGGAACACACACACACACAAACACACACACACACAAAAAAAAATCGAATCTCTGCACGCTGGCATTTAAGCCCAATTTCGCACGCTGAGACCAGCCATGCCGAGCCGACGAGAACACCGCATAAGGTGAAGTACATCTTCAGAACAAACATGTGTTGACATCTGGGTGTGCCTTGCAACCACCTGCTCGATCGGATGAGGCTCTCCAAGCGGAACACGTTTACATTTGGGCTGGAACGTAAAACGCTCCAAAAACCATCAATAGTATCAAGTGGTAGTGGGTCAAAGCGGCACGACCACTTTGAGCTAGCTTTGCTCGTAGCTCGTTTGGAGTGGACTTTGCCCAACGCTCGATACTGGGATTCAAGATCAAAACGCTACATTTTAGATGGCATCTGCACGTATGATGCTGGCTTGAGACTGTGGTCACGAACATCTATGTGTTTCCTGCCACACCTTTATGAAATAACTATTTTGCTCCTTCGATTCGCGCGTGGTCCCCAATTCCATCCATCCAATCGTCGCGACACCACTTCGCTCCCTGCAACGTCCGCTTGCTCAAATTGCACCTCCAGAGTTTAGCTCCCGCGTGCGCTCGCCAACGGCAACTGTCTGTTCAGATGCTTTGACACATTCGTACACACATGTCTTCCCTCTTCTATATGCTACTGTCCGGGGGTGTGACCGAACGTCCCCCACCCCCGCAAAACGCGACCCCCGGATCTGTGGCCCCAGCGGCCCCCTAGACACCCCTGCCGAAGGTCCCGTGGGCTTTCCGGGGCGCCTCAAAGCCCCTGCCGCGCCTAGGCGCCGCACCCGGAGCGGTCAGGAGGGCGACCGAATGGCCCCGCGGCCCCGCGAGAGCCCCAAGAGGCCCCAGACACCAGCCAGACGCCCGAAGACGACCCAAACCAGAAACCCTTAGAGGCACTCGCAACGCAAGAGAACATTGATTCCCGATGGAATTTTGCATGATCTTGGGAATGCTCAGTTCTTCGGTCTGCCGAGCGTCCGAGGCCCCAAAGCTACCCAGAAGGGGTTCCAGGCAGTCCGAGAGAGCCCTAAGACGGCCCAACAGGGAGCCAAGATGGCTGAAAGAGGGCCCCGTGACGGCCCAAGATGGCCCCAAGACGCCCCCCGAAGCATTTCAAATCGTGGCCCGTTCAGGGAGTCCGTGGTTGGAAGCAGGGTGGTCCGAGGAAACCCCCAGATGCCCCCAGAAGGAACCCAGGAGGCCTCCAGATGGCCCCAAGTAGCCCTGAGACACTGTCGTGAGGTCCCCAAGAAGCTCTCCAAGGAGGGGCCTGCGCAAAAAGAGTTAAGGAGGATGGGGAAAATTCGGCGGGTAGGGCGAGAATAAGAAAGAGGAGGCGGAAGCATGAGGGAAGAATAACGAATGACATGATCACAACGACGATGTCGGGCCACCATGCCAAACGTTCAGGACCAAGGTACACGGCGCGAAGCCCTAGTGCAGTTTTGTGAATATGCGCGCACACACATATATACATATATGTATATATATGTGTGTGTATATGTATGTATGTATGTATGTATGTATGTCTGTCTGTCTGTCTGTCTGTCTGTCTGTCTGTCTGTCTGTCTGTCTGTCTGTCTGTATGTATGTATGTATGTATGTATGTATGTATGTATACTAGAACCATCGCGCGCGCTTCGCGCGAGCTCAAGTTCTAGCTAGGCTTGATAGGCTAACTCATGTAATCTCATGCTGGCCGCTTCTTGCGTCCAGGGACTCCCTTGGAGGCCCTGCGCAAGCCTCGGAATCTTATAGAAGGGGAAGTGCGGAAACGCAGAAATCATGCATTTCCTTTAGGTATTCAACGATTTGGGGCCCTCAAAGGCTTCCTGGCTTCTTTTTTGGGAGGTGAGTAGGGTCCGAATTGAGGTCTGTTGTGCAAGAGTAAGCCGGGGGCCAAGCTTGGGAAAAGAAACCAGAATTGTGGGATTCCTATTTCTTTCCAATTCCTCGGCGCTGTTCGGCGCTATTTTTTGTTTGTGCCTCGCGGGTTTTGTCAGCCGGGCCCCTCAGGGGTGTGGGATCTTCGGGACCCCCTGGGGCTTCTGGAGGTCTCCTGGAGGCCTGGAGAGCCGTCGGAAGGGTGTCTCGGGCTGCGCGGGAGCGTGTTGGGCCGTTCTTTCCGTTCTGGGGGTTTCTTGGGGTCGTCTTGGGCTTTCCTTGGGCGTCTTGGGGGCCCTTCGGGAAGCTCCGAGGCGCGGTACCGACCAGATGTCAGGGGATGTGCGGGATCTCCGAGTAGGAGTCCACTTTGAAAAAAAAGGGGCGCGGTACCAGGCGCCTCTTTGGAAATTTTGGGGGTTTCTTGGCCCGTCTTGGACCCGTCCTGGGAGTCTTTTGGGCGGTCTTGGGGCGGTCTTGGACCGTTGGAAGCTCGAAAACGCGAGAAGCCAAAAACATTAAAACAAAACCACGATAATCGACGATTTTGGCCTCTTCGGGCTGTCCCGGGACGCCTCTCGGACCTCTCTTGGGGCTTTTTGGAGGCCTCCTGGGAGCGTGGGGAGCCGTCCACAGGGTGTTTTTGACTGCTTGGGAGCGTCGTGGGCAGTTCTTTGCGTTCTGGGAGCTTCTTGGGGTCGTCATGGGCTGTCCTTCGGCGTCTTGGGGTCTCCCCAAGAAGCCGGGAGGCGCGGTACCGGCCAGATGTCAGGAGATGAGTGTAGGACCCCCGAGTGGGAGTTCCACTTAGAAAGAAAGGAATTCTAGGAATTACTGTTTTTTCTGCTCAAGCTCCTCGATCTTTGAGGGTTGAAAGCGGGAAAACATGAGAAGGCGAAGAGCATTGGAAAAACTATTGGAAATCAGCGATTTTACCCTTTTTGGGCTCTCTCAGGACGGCTCTCGCAGCTCTCTTGGGCTGTTCTTGGAGCCTCGTCGAAGTCTTTTTGGGACCTCTCAAGGATCGGGGGTGTGATGGGGGCCTCTGGGTGGTCCCGGAGGCCTCTCGGAGGTCTCTGGAAGCCTCCTGCTCCCGCTCTTGGGCCCATCTTGGGCCTGTTCTAGGGTGGTCTAGGCCTGTCCTGGGCGCCTCTTCGGCAGTCTTGGAGCCTTCTTGGCCCTTCTTGGAGCCGTCCTGAGGGTCTCTTGGGTGGTCTTGGGGCGGTCTTGGGAGCCTCTTCGACGCTCTTGGATCGCTGGAAGCTCGAAGACGCGAGAATCCAAAAACATTGAAAAACATTATAATCGACGATTTTGGCCCCTTCGGGCCTTCCCAGGGCGCCTCTCGACCTCTCTTGCTGCCTTTTGGAAGCCACCTGGGAGCCTCGAGAGCCGTCGGAAGGCTGACTTGGGCTGCTTGGGACCGTCTTGGGCCATCCTTTCGCATTCTGGGGGCTCCTGGGGGGCGTCTTGGGCCCTCCTGGAACACTGTGGAGGCTCCCCGGAACGCCCGGGGGATCGGTACCTGGAGCGTTCCCGAGATGTGACGGGGAGGTGTGGTACCCAGGGCCGGGGGGGCGGTATTCATTTATATTATATTATACTATGTTATATTATATGATGATATATTGTATTATAATATTTTATAGTATAGGATATCATATTATCTGTGTGTGCGTATGTATGCACATTTAAGTATGCCCTTTGACTTGCGGGCGCGGTAGCGTAGCGGCGAAAAAAGGGGGAAGCCTTGTCATCGACGTCCTCCAAGGCTGCCGCCCCAGCCAACTGCTTCGCGTCGAACTCCTGGAGGGGCTGCCGATTTGGATGCTGGTTACATCTGTGGCGAATGAGAGTTACGGGTGATACGAATGAGAAAAGTGTATGTGGACTGCGACTTCTGACAGGCACGGAGAGAATGTTGCCGACTCATGAATTCGACCACTCGAACGAGGCGTAACCACTCCAGCACGCCCACCACGCCAGGCTGGAAGGAGAGCGATGGAGATGATGGAGCGGATTGAAACCTACGTACTGGATCAACTGCATCAAGGCGAGACGGGGAGATATCAACGAGACCATTTAAAACATACACTATGACGGATTAGAGGCGGAGAAAGAGAAAGAGAGATAGAGGCATACATATATAAACGCCTACATACCGTTGTAGCTATACGCGTGTACTATAGTATATGCATGTATGTATGCATACATGCATGTATGTATGTAAATATGCTTGTATGTATGTATACATGCACGTATGCATGTATGCATGTATGCATGTATGACTGTATGAATGTATGTATGCATGCACGTATGTATGTATACATGTATGTATGTGTCTGACTGTCTGAATACATGCATACATGTACATGCGTGCATACTTGTGTATATATAGATATACCCATGTCTATGTACACGTATCCGAATCAATCTCTATATATATATGTAGATAAACATGTATACCGATAAACATATATATACACATATATGTGTATGTGTGTGTGTGTCTGCATATACGCATGTGCGTACGTACGTACGTACTTTTGTATGGTTGTGTGTATGTATGTTTATAATCGTGCATGTGTGCATGCATGCATACATGCATGTATGTATGTTTGTTTGTATATATATATGTATGTCAATCAAAGCGAGGAGGCCGAACGGTCATTCACTGCCCCTGGGTTGGCTAAAATGGGACTCCGCAGTGCGGATGTTACATGTTAAGCATTGCATTGCGTTGTTGTTGTCGTCCCCCCCGCGACCCCCCCGCGACCCACCCACGACCCATCCCCGATCCACCCGCGACCCACCCGCATTGCCTGAATGAACAAATCGGCACCTGCGGCGGACTTCTGAGCCACGCAGACTGCTAACTACGGTGTGCTACACATATACCCGCCAGCGTGCCTTTGGCACGTAGTGGAATGGCCCAAGGATCACGTGGCTCTGCAAGGTAGAGGACTTGTGGTGCGTACGGGTTCTTAACTAAGGGCCAGAACCAATGGTTTCCCAGACGGTCCTAGGCGGTCCTGAACGCTGCCGGACTGTGTCGCCCGAGCTTGCGGCGCGCCAAGAGGTCCCCAAGACGGGCCAAGATGAACTTAAGTGGCCAAAAAGACTGCCGAAGAGGGTCCCGAGTCGTCGAACGGTCGGTCCAAGACGCCCATGGTGACCTCCAGACGGCCGAAGATGCCCCGCAGACGCCCCAAGAGGCCTCCCCCAATGCAAAACACACTGATTATCCTCAAGCGTTTGAACAATGTGGCGTTCTCGCCGTTTCGGTTTCACGACGCTCGAGGACGACCCACGAGGCCCCAATGATCGCCCCAAAACTGCCCAAGAAGCCTCAAAGAGGGTTCCAAAACGGCCCGCGATGTCCCCAATACGGACCGAGAGTCGTCCAAGACGGCCCCAAAGGACCCCAAGACGGCTTCAAGACGGGGAACCGACTGAACGTTTCGAGCTCTCGGCCCTGGGAGGCCCCCAGAAGGCCCCACGAGAACCCGAAGAGGCCGCCAAGAGTTCTCAAGAAGCCCCAGAGAGGCATCCAGGAGACACTTTGAGGCCCCCAAGAGGCTCCCAAGAGGTCACCCAGAGGCTCCCAAGAAGTCCCCAAACTGCCCCCAAGAGGCCCCCGAGAGCGATCCCAAGAGACCCCTAGAAGCACTCCTGAGGACTCTGACCCACAACCCAAGCAGGGTGGCAGGATGGGCCGAAGGAGTATGCCCCAGAGTTCGCGAGGTCGCCGTCCTGTCGCGAAAGCTCGCGCAATACGCTCCCGCGAAACCCCTGCGAATTCAAGCACTCGTGTGTCTTTCTTTCGCTCCCGCGGATTGGCACGGCCAGGATGCCATTGGCCGACGATACGTTACAAGAATTGCGGAATTTGTGGCGGCCTTCGGTTGCTCGCACTCAGCCATTCGTCTCTGGCCGCGCGGGGCAACAAGACTACATCAAAATCTTGGAACGTATAAGCATCCGAAATTTCTGGAACAATGGCTGCGGCGTTGGTCGTTGAAGCCGGTGTATGACAGCACACTGAAACATCGACATGTGCCTCCGAAAACCCGAACTACCATTTCGTAATCTCAAGCGGTTGTTAACGATAACGGGGGTCCTGTGTGAGCCTGCATGGGCCGTCTGCAACACCGGCTTGCCACCATGCAGATTACGAGATGGTGGTGAGACAAAATTGGGCGGCTTGTAGCCGCGCAGGCGGACAGCGAGGACCAACCACCACACACCAAATTGTCCGCTCAAGATGTTTACTGCGTCTCGCTAGAGGGTGCCGCTGTCGCCCCAGCGGGCCCTGGCTGCCCCTCCTTTAGTCGCTGGTCGGCCATCGCCAGGAAGGCAGCGCGGAGCCGCGGCAGGCTGCGCTCCCAGTCCGACACGAGCCCCTCGAGGTGCCTGAAGGGGCCCGTCGGCCGGTGGCCGACGTGCGCTGCCGGCCATCACTCCCTCATCCCTCCCGGACGCACGAGGTTTGAAACCAACGGGCCCTGGATGCTTTTTTGCCATTGTAAGGCTCATGTGGCACCCCCACGGCCACCAAAACTTCCAAGAAACGATTCAGGACCAAGCACTGGTCCCGGGGGGCGGTTCCAGGTGCAAAGGAGGCCTGGTGCATTTTGTGTGTTCCTTTCCATAAGGAAGCCGATGCGCAACTATCCCTACGCGTCCCCCTCTCTCTACTTCTCTCTCTCTCTCTATCTTCCTCTTGAAACCCTCCACCTTTGGGATTGAAAGCCTCTACAAAAGGACTTATATTGGAAGCCTTGACAAACGCATTCCTGTTGGCATCCTCTACAAAAGGATTTCTATTGAAAACTACTGCAAAAGGATTCCGATTGAAAACCTCTACAAAAAGATTTCTATTGAAAGCCACTACAGAAGGATTCCGATTGAAAGCCTCTACAAAACGATTCCTCTTGATATCTTCTACACGAAAATTCCAGATGAAAGCCTTTACGAAAGGATTCCGATTGAAATCCTCTACATAATGATTCCTCTTGAAAGCCTGTAGAAAAGGATCCATAGTGAAAGCCTCAACACAAGGATTCGTTTTGAAAGCCTTTTACAAAAGAATTCTTATTGAAAGCCATTGCAAAAGGATGCATAGAGCAAGCCTCTACACAAGGATTCCTTTTGAAATCCCATACAACAAGATTCCTGTTGAACGCCGATGCAAAAGGATTCATATCGAAAGCCAATACAAAAGGATTCCTATTGAACACCTCTACGAAAGGATTCCGATTGAAAACCTCTACAAAAAGATTCCCATTGAAAGCCGCTACAAAAAGATTCCTATTGGAAGCCTTTACGCAAGGATTCTTATTGAAAGCCAATACAGAGGATTCCTGCTGAAACCCAATACGAAAGGATTCTCATTGAAAGCATCTACAAAAGGATGCATGTCGAAAGCAAATGCAAAAGGATTCCTTCTGAAAGCCACTACAAAAAGATTCATATTGAAATCCTTTACAAAAGGATTCCGATTGAAAGCCTCTACAACATCCTCCTCCTCCTCCTGCTCCTCCTCCTCCCCCTTCCAGCGGAAAGACGTAACTCTGAGGAAACCATGCGAACAAAAAAAAACCAAACAAACCAAAGACACTGACGTGCTGGAGGCGGAAACCTTAGAAACACCATGGGAAAAACAACAGACAAGAAGAACAGCAAAAAACACACACCAAACATCTAATGGACATCCCGTCCGCCCCAAAGGGGAGGTTACATGGGCGGGCGGCATTGCTTGGACACGTTGTTTGTTTGTTGTTGTTTTTTTGTTTTGTGTTTCAATATGTTTCCAATGTGTGCAGCCTCCAGCGCTTCAGTTCTTTCTCAGGGCTTTCCTAAAAAGTTATGGCGTTCCGCTGGAAGGGGGGAGGAGGAGGAGGAGGAGGAGGAGAAGGAGGAGGAGGAGGAGGAGGAGGAGGAGGAGGAGGAGGAGGAGGAGGAGGAGGAGTTGGAGGAGGAGGAGGAGGAACAGGTGGTCCCTTTCGGTCGGTTGTTCCCTGGGATCTTTAGTTGTTGGTTGCTTGTTGTGTCCCAGGAGTTTTCCAAACTTGCAAATGCAGCACTTCAGTTTCTTTTGTTTTTTTGTTCCAAGGGTTTCCCTAAAGTTATGGTTTTTCCTTGAAAGGGAGGGAGGGGGAGGAGGAGGAGGAGGAGGAGGAGGAGGAGGAGGAGGAGGAGGAGGAGGAGGAGGAGGAGGAAGAGGAGGAGGAGGAGGAGGAGGAACGTTTCGCGCAAGAGAAAGAGGAGGAACGTTTCGCGCAAACATATGACAATCGCGGGGGGGGGGGGGCGACAACGACTGAAGCCAAACCACCAGGCCCCCTTTGCACCTGAAGCCCCTGGGGGACCCCTCCCGTTTCCCTGAGGAGCCGCTTGTTTCGCACCGAAGCATTCCGAATGATGTCGGTTAGACAACTGTTCGACGTTTTTGACATTTTTCGTCGCCACGGCTGGGCGCGGCTCGAAAAAGAAGGCAGGATTGACACGGGGAGGGGTTTGGACCCCCTCTCTTCCAAGTAAGCCCACATGGCTTCCACATAACGCATCACGTGCCTCGAGGACTGCGCGCCGGGGGCACCTCAGGCTAAAATCACCTCTGGCACCCCCCGACCCTTTCCCTCTTCCCTCGCCCTTCCTGGCCCTTTGTTCATCCCCCCTTCCGCGTCCTCCTCCATCAGCTCTTTCACCCTCCACCCTTCCCGGCCCCCCCCCCAGTCCTCCTCCTCCTCCTCCCCCTCCTCCTCCTCCAGCGAGGAGGCAACCAGCGGCGTGCACGCACGCATGCACCGGACGGGCGCGCATTCAACTGGGGGCGGCGAGAACATGCGCTGAAGGCCTGCCAGCGCCAGATCTGGCGAGCAAAACGCCCGGTCCAAAACCGGACCCCTCCCCGGCCACCGTCCCGACCAAGCTTTTATCGGGCCGCGTCCCAGCCGTCGGCGGCGAGGGCCCATTCTTGTGCAAGGTGGACCCGGACGGGCGGCGGAACTCGGATGTAAGCGGGCAGCAGCTCGGCATGAAAGAGGCAGGTTCGTGCTGAAAGGGGCGCTGGAAATCAATCGCTTCTCTTCAGGCCCCTCTGCGGCCCTTCGCGGGCCCTTGCGCCGTCAGGTGATGTTAGGTGTACTTCAGCCTTCGGGCCAACATGAACTCCGTCGGGCTGTTGATCCTGGCTCGCCTTTTGGAAACGGCCAGGCTCCACTATGAGGGTCGTGAATCCACCCGTGGCGACGAGGCCGGCACGCCCAAACACGTTAAAAGTATACTACGAACCGTTAGAAACCGTGCTTCGCGAAGACGACGGCGAATAGAGGGGCGCGGGCCGCGCCATTTTGCCTGGCGACTCGCTGGCCGAATACGGCGGTCGCGGGCGCGCCCACCGTCGATCGTCCGAGCGTCGCTTGCATCCATCGATTCGCGCCGCTACCTATCCCGCGATTTATAGAATGCGCGGTGGGCCGCGCCGCATGCGAGAATGGTGGCCCCATTCGGTGGGCCATGGCCCCATTGATCGCGCATGGTGGCGTATCCAAGACCATCCTTTCTCGTGTTGGCGGCGCATTTACGGATGACCGTCTCCTTCTTTCCTCGGCTACCGCTGCGCCCCGTGCGCGATGCACTCGCAAACAACGACGCTGCAAGTATCCTGGGGTTTGTTGCTCGATTGTAGTCTGAGCCTGATGAAGGTCGAATTAATGTTCTTTGAAATCCTCGCGGGGCGGGGCCTAATTGCTCGCGCGCATCGCGCCGCGAGACTCGTTGCCCGGCGGCAACATGAAAATGCGCCGAAGACGCGCGGCGTCGAGCGTTGCTCCGCTAACTCGGCCTGGGCTGTTGCGTCGGCTCCTCGTGGCCGCCCTGCAGGCAGCGGGGCAGCGTCGCTCCGCCTGCGCGTGCATCTAGCAATCAGCAGCGCGTTGAGCAGCAGGTTGCGCCTCTGCGCCTCTGTGCTCTGGCCCGATCTTGCCCCGCCGTCTCTCTTTGCGCTTTGGCTTGACCTCTGCTTCCATGGCGGGGAGCTTGGCGGGCGATTGCAGCGAGGTCGTTCCTGGCGGCGAAAGTCGCGGGGTCCTGCGCTGGGGCGAAGCTGGCAGGGGCGCCCTCCGACGCGCCCACCCCCCCCCCCCTCGCAATCGCTCTGCTCTTGTTTGTCGGGAGGGCCTCGAGTTTCCCGGTTCGGCGAAGGCCCCGTTGACGCGCGAGCCAACGTCTACAGGAATTGCCCGCTGGTGTTCGTCGGGCTGCTGGATCTGAGGGGGAAGTGAAGCGGTTTCCTCGGCGGTGCCATCGTCCCGCGCGCATCTCGCCGCGCCCGCCCGTTTGCTAATTCTCGTCGATTGAGACGTCTTCCTCCTCCCGGGCGACCTAGATAGCGACGGGCACTTGCTCGGCCATATTGTCCGCGAGCGCGCCGCGAAAGATGCCTCCGGCGTCGAGGTCCTCTTCGCGGTCCGCGTTGGCCGACGTCGCCTCGAGCATTGCGCTTGCGGGTGTTCAGGAAGGCCCGACGCATCGACGGGGGTTCTCGTCGAGCAACTGCTCGGGCACGGCGCGCGTGTTTTTGTGGCGCGCCGAGTTCTGGCCCCTGGGGACTTTGGATGGAGACAGCAAAACATGCCGACCGCACTTGCAGAGCGCGTCGCGCCCAGCGCGCGCGACGCAGGAGCCCCGCATGTGCCGCGGCGACAACTTGACGCGCCCCGTCTGACTCCGCGATTCCCGCCCCTTAACATGGTCCGATTGAAATCAGAGTCCGCGAGGCACGGACTCGAGATGGCGATTTGGACATCGGGGCCTGGCGCCCCGAGACGAGCGCGAAGCCGCGCGCTGTCCCAGACGACGTCTGGGCGCTCAGGGCCGCCCCCGTTTCGCGGGTTGCGGTCGCGTCTCGGGCTTCGGCGACAGATGGGGGCCCACCGCGGCGCGCTCGCCCTGGAGGCCAGGGCGACGGCGGCGACGTCAAATTGCTGCAGAACGGCTTTAATCGCTTCGGTAATGCAACTCGCCGAACCATCGCGATCACGGCGCGCCGCCTCTGATTGGCCGCCAAATCTGCCCCTTCGGAAATCAGCGCAGGTGCAGCCTCATCCTCATTGTCAACATCTCCAACAGCGGGTCGCTCCGCTGCGTCTCCATCTGGCGCGTCTGAAGCAGCGGGCAGTCCCGCTGCGGCCCCTGGCCCCGGGCGAAGCAGCCCCGCCTCTCCAAGCCGGAAGGGCTTCCTTGTGCGCCGGCTTTCTCGCCGCTGGCCCCCGGCGAATGCGAGGGCCCATGGGGGCGGGGCGAAAGGCCGAAGCATCGCCGCGCGGTGAAGTCACATCTTGAAGGGCGGCCTCGCCGCCGCGGCTGACGCGCAGGGCGCGAACGGGCGGCGCCGCCCCGAAACTCATGGCGGCGCCGGCTGGGCGAATCAAAATGCGCAGCCCATGTTCGCCACGGCGTGCGCGCCTGCGCAGATCCAAACGACGTAATCCACATGCTAAGAAGGGATGGCGACGCCTCTAAAAGGGCCCGCAGAGTTGCCTCGGTAGGCTGGCTGAAGAAAAAGACATGTGTCGATTGTGCGCTGGGCCCCCAGGATCGCCCCAGCGCGGGGAATAGACGTCGGACACTGACGCCCCGCGCCGCGCCATAATGAAGGCAGTCGACAGTGCTTCCCCTCCTTGGACCTGTCGGCTGAATGCCCACCCACGGCGCGAAAGGTGATGAATACAGTTTCGCCGAGATCACGACGATGTTCTGCTTGACCTCTCCCCCGCGTCGGCAAAACTGCTGGCCTTCATTTCAATCGCCAGGTCTCCAGCGACGGGTCGAAGAGGTTCCGGTGGCGGCCTTTCTCGGCCGCGCACTAAACTTTGCGTCTGGCCCCCTGCCCTTGCGCAATGAGGCGGGGCCAGTGCTCTCTCTCTCTCTCTCTCTCTCTCTCTCTATATATATATATGTACACGCATACAAAGAGACAGAGAGAGAGAGAGAAAGAGAGAGAGAGAGAGAGAGAAAGAGAGATAAAAAAAGAGAGATAAAACAGAAAGAGATTATTGCACACATTGATGACGCCAGGAACCAAGACGGCGGAATCGACAATGCCCCCGTGCTGAATATTGCGGCGCACGCGCCGCGTGAAGGCCCGACATATGTCACATGGCCGAGATATTAAGTCCTTTGTGCTCAGCGCCCATCCCCATGGGGGGTGCCGCATCGCTGCGGGCAGAACGTTTGCCATCTCTCGTGCGGGGTCCGCGAAGATGGTCTTCTCCGCGGCGTTCCAGTTGACCGGCTGCTGTCGCGCGGCCGCTGTCTCCGAAACCGTGGATGTGTCGAAGACGACGGCTTCGAGTTTTGCTTCTAGCTCACCTGTATCTGCCATCTTTAAAAAGCCGCTTCGCGCCAGTTGCAGAGCTTGCGCGCTTCGGTTGTTGACCCGGATTTGGGGATGGAATGGCAGTGGAACCAAAGAACCCCGTGGTAGATCAGGCCTCGGCTCGCCTGGGAGGCGGCCGAGTTCCTTCAAGGAAAAAGCTATAGCATAGCCGTTAGCAACCAATCTCGACGACGACGACGACGACAAGGGAGGAGAAGGATAATGCGCGCGCGGGCTCGCAACCCCGTTTCCCCATGCGCCTCGCGAGGCCAACCGGCGCTCGCGGTCGCCGCTCGCAGCGATCGAAACTCAAGCCCTTCCCCGACCCCCAAGAGGACGGGAGAGGGAAGGCTAACAAAAAGAGCGGGGGAAGCCCAGGAGGGATCCGAGGGCCCCCCAAACACAGCGGAATCACCGCTCGAAATTAAACGCGCACCAAGGTAGAGGGGTAAAACACAGTGGGGGCATGTCAGCGGTCGAGATTGACCTTGCTTGCGTGGAAAGGGCGGCTATATCTCGCGCCTCCCGCGGTCTTTGGTCTACAAAACGAGGTGGAACTTGTCGCACTTGGTCGCGCGAGGGAAGGGTCCTCGGCTCAGCAGCGCGTGCCGCGGGAGCTTCTTTCCCGGTCCTAGATCCACTTGGATACGGGGAGCACTTCTTTTCCTCATAATCCAATCGGAATATTGCATTGCTGGTGCAGGCGGAAGGTCGCCCTTCCGCGTCAGCCTTTCGCAGAGCTCGTGGCGTCTGTAGCACGGTCGACCTGTGCGATTTATCCGTGCCCCGTTGGCTGTCGTCGGGCAGCTTGTTGTGACTGTTCCGCGTTTGAAGCGCATTAGAGATGATGGCCTCGAGGTGAGCGTCTAACGTGCCTGATTTTTCAATTTCATGCAGTACGCAGCGCGACGTCGGCTGATAGCATGAGATTGGTGTTGCGTCACTCTTCGGACCAAAATGAACTCTTTGAATTTGTTGGCCCTGGCTAGCCTTTGAACGCGGCCGGGTTCCAGCAATAGGAAAGCGAACCCACCCGCGGCGACGAGGTCCGCGCGCCAAACCTCAAGTAACATACGAACCGTTTGCAATCGTGCTTCCCGAAGACGACGGCGAAGAGAGGAACGCAAACCCTGTTCTCTTGCCTGACGCTTCGCAGGCTGAAATTGTTTCGGCTGCGGGCGCGCTTTCACCCATTCCTGCAAGCAAAAACAGCAGGAGGAGGGGACGAAAAAAGGCGGAACGGGGACAACCCAAAACGGACACGGGACCGAGCCGTAAGCCCAGGCGGGTTTCCGCAAAATTAAAAATTCGCGGGCCCCAGGGGGTAAGAACATCAGAAGGCGACCGATGACGAACAGGCCCTGGGGAATGCCCCGGGATCTGGGACCCTGGAGGAAGGAAAAACAACGCATGCACAAACTTTCGGAGGTCCGCACAATTCTCTCGGATCCGCGCTGGACCCCCTTCGGTGCAGGAGCCGCCGTGGGACCCAACGCCGGCCCCAAAAAATCGCGCGGAGCTCGTCCATACAATTTGTTTGTTATTCCTCGCGGCCCGCTTCCCTCTTGCTCCCTCTCATTCACGGAACAGCAGAGCTAACACCTGACGTCCAGTGCCGGCCCGAGCGCAGCCCCCTGGGGCAGGCCGCACCCTCGTTTGCAATCCGATTCCAGGATCTTGCCGCGGGCGTCCCAAGGCCGATGTTGTTCGGCTCCTCACCTCGAGAAGGTCGGCTCCATGAAGGACGAAGCAAGGCCGGGATAGCATAGGACCAAGGCAAATAGGTGATATCTGAGATCTTGCGATTCTGGAGGATGTATCGGGCGACGCGGCCGTTCCAGAGCGCTCCGGAACGCTCCGAGAGCGTTCCAGGACGCTCTGGAGCGATATATCCCGGTCCTGGGCCCGTCCGACCATGTCAACCTCACCCCCTGCCATGCCTACCACCACGTGTGCCCCAGAGAACCCCCGCACCGACCTCTCCGAACATGAGCCCAGGTTGTGCGGACATTTCGCCTAGGCGTCTAGAAACTCGTCGGAACTGGTGCCTATCTCGTCCCAAACTCGAGCGGGACTGCCAGAGCCGCGATGGACTTCGGCTTCGAACAAGCTGCCAGGAAAGCCCACCAAGCAGAACCGCCCGCGCCACTTCCCTCGAGGCCTGCTGGGGATGAGCTTCGAGGCGTCTTCGGTCACGCTCATCAACATCGTCCACCAGAACTTGCACCGGTCGGTCTCTGGCTGGGAGGCGCCTGCTGGGGGCTGACTGGGACTTCAATCCCAGCAGCGAAGGTGAGACATGGATGATGCCATAGAGGAAGGCTTGAGCGAGAGAGCTGAAAGCATCTGGCATCTTGCCGCTCGCTCGTGCGGAGCCATCCGCGTGGACCCTCCATGCACAACTTCGCATCAATGCTGATCCAGTGCGCACCCGCACCTGGCGTACGGACAAACACGTTTGTTTCGGCATTCAGTCCTCCTTCACCGCGCTGTCCCCTAAGCTTCACGAGCAGCGAAAACGATGAGGTAATTGTCCCTCTTCTCCTGCTCCTCCTGAGATTCGAGGTAGCGAAAACAATGTACCATCGCAAAAAATCACGACCCGAGCCTCGCACCCCATCTTTTCTGCGCCATTTGTCGAGCTGGACGATCTGTGAAGGTCTAAGAGCCCGAGATTGTGCGAAAACGCCCGGCTCGAACAAAGTAAGTCGCCAGATCTCAGGGTCCTCCCCCACCCCCATGGGTCCCTCCTCGAACAAACGACGGGGAGGGCCGCTCCTGGCCGCGCTGCCCTCTCAAACAGGTCCACCACCAGCGCCGCGCCGGCGTCCAGCAGCCGCACCACCTCCGCCTCTTTCGCCTCGTCATCGGCCTCGAGCCTCCCGGCGGGGCCAGGCTGCTATTCTCTGTTCCTGCTCGGGGATCGACTCACCCAGGTCAAGCCAGACCTGGGTCGGTCAGACTACGCAGGATCCTGCAAGACCCTGCAGGGTCCTGCCAGAGGCGCAACCCTGGCGCTGCAGGATCCCGCAACTCTGGCGGGCCCCCGTTTGCATTGACTCTCCATCCCTTGAGCCCTGGTGCACTCCTCTCCGCCCGCCTCTGGTCTCCCCCGCCTTTCCCTGGCCCCTCCGCGCTCCATCGGATTCCCTCGATCTCACCGTCGGCCCTCGTGAACGCTCCGCCGTCGTGTGACGGCACGCAGAGGGCGGAGGGGCGGGGGAGAGGCGCAGCCTGCTTACAAAGACAAAGGCGGGGGGCTGGCGGGGATACGCGGAGCGCCAACAATTTGTTTTTACGGCTCCGATGCGTTTCTGTGACGGTATGTGCATTTGGGCAAACGTGCGGGATACCTATAGCATTGCCCCAAGCCGTGCACGGTGCCCAAAGCTGGCGTTCAAGGCGCAGGCCCTAGAAAAAAACAAAAACCCACTCTCAAGGCCAAGGCTGATCATGTTTAGGAGTTTCAAGTTCCCGCACCTTGCGCTTCCGCGAAACGACGCCTGGGGGGTGACAAACTCGTGAACCCCACAATGTAAGTTTCTGAGCTGGGGGCTACGCCACTATCTGCACGCCTCAACCCACTCCCTCATCCATCCACTCAGCCTCCTCCTAAGCCTCATCCCTCCTTCGATCGGTTCGGCTGTCCCGTTCTTGGCTGCCACACCTCCCTGATCACCTCAACTCGCCTGGGCGTCGTTCCTGGATGAGCTGGTGGAGATACGCGAAGCGTCAAGAAGTTGCTCTCGAGCCGCGACCATCGCAGCAATCCTGACCCAAGTGCAAAAACTCATGCGTGGTGGGAATAGTATCGAAGCATTAGCTGGAAGGATGTATGTGTTGTTGTCGTTTGATGGTTTTGTTTTGTGTTTTGTTTTGTTGGCTCATATGTGTTTGTTTGTGTTTCCAAGTTTCAGTTTTGTGTGTGTTTGGAAGGGGTATGTGTTTACTTGACATTACCGTTTTGCGTCGCACTCTCTCTCTCTCTCTCCCCCCCTCTCCCCTTCTCCCTTTTCGCCAACCAGAACACAAAAAGGGGACATGTTAAGCAGGTTAGCTAAGTAGGTTAGCGAAGTCGGTTAGCTGACGGCTCTAACATACTTAGGTATTCAAGCGAACTAAATTAATCTTCGTATGATATCCGCTTACATAGGTTACCATTAACTGAGATACTAAGTCATCGAAGTGGGCGTGACCCGTGGTTTCCGGTTAACATGACTTATAACTGGTTGTCATCTGAGTCGCCTGATTATAATCAACTTATACTTCAGTTATAACCTAAGTATTATTCCGGCGAACCTTAAGCTAACCAAGGCGGCGATCGCAATATGGCCCCGTCCGTCCACTTCTGAAAACGCCCGGGTCGGCAGACCCGATACTAAGCCATAGCGACTACGGAGGAGGACAAGGAGAGAGAGAGAGAGAGACCGAGAGAGACAGCGAGAGAAAGAGGGCTACGCCAGTGGGGCAAAACCCCGTTATTCACGCGAACGACTAAGTCTTCCGACGAGGCAGGTCCCTCAGTGGAAATGAACCGATGTAGGGGCCTATGAAGAAGGAGCTTGGAGGGAGGGTTTAATCCAACATCGTTGATGACTCTTGGGTGTACGCTGGTCCTCCTCCTCCTCCTCCTCCTTCCTCCTCCTCCTCCTCCTCCTCTTCCTCCTCTTCCTCCTGCTCCTACTCCAAATATCACAATAGCGGGGGCGGGTCCAACAAATGTTTGACAGTGCGTCTGGACCCCCCCAACAGCGGTGCAACAGTGGGTCCATTTCGAGACCCTCAAACCACCTTGTTTGACGAGGCCCGTTGGACCCCCACACACAAGCAGATTCCCCCTGCTTCTCCTCCTCTCTCCTCCCCCTCCCTTCTCCGACCCTAGCTTCCCCCTCCTCCTGGCGAGGATCCATCCTCCTCCTCCTCCTCCCTCCTCCGTCGTCCTCCTCCCTCCTCCGTCTTCCTACTCCCTCCTCCTTCTCACCACCCCTGCTCCTGCCCACCACCCCTGCTGCTGCCTGCCTCCTGCTGCTCCTCCTCGTCCTCCTCCTCGTCCTTCTCGTCCTCCTCCTCCTCCTCCTCTCCTCCCTCCCTCCCTCTCTCCCTCCTCCTTTCCCTGCCTGAGAGGATGGCCGCGCGCCTGGCGAAGATGGCGGCGTACATGGCGTGCTCGAAATCCTCGAGGCCGGGCTTACGCTCGGCGGAGCAATCCATGACCGCCGTGTCGTCGGGGCCCATGCCGAGCACCTCGGGGGGGGGAGGGGAGGGTCGGCGGGAACCTCTTCCTCTTGTTTGTTCTTCTCCTTCCCTCACCCTTACCCTCCTCCCCTCCCTCCCTCCCTCCCGCCCTCCCCCCTCTCCTCCTCTTCCGCCTCCTCCTCCTCCTACTCTTCCTCCTCCTCCTCCTCCTCCTCCTCCTCCTCCTCCTCCCCTCGCCCCTCCTCCTCCCTCCAGCAGACAGTAGACAGTCGGGAAGAATCCACAATGCGAACACAGCTAACATAAAAATAAACAACACCAAACACATGCTTGTATCATATCCTAGCTTGGGGATTCCTGGCTCCCTTCCTTCCGACCTGCCGCCCGGGGGGGGAGAGGCGAGGTGACGGCCTGCCCGAGGCGGGGGGGGGAGGGAAGGGAATCCTGAGCGAACAAGGGCAGGGAGGGAAGGGCTCGCCGCCCCTGGGCCTCGGACGCGACAAGGGCTTATCCGCTTCGCCTCCAAAGAAAATCCTGCGGCCCTGTGCCGGCCCTGCGGGGCACCGGGCTCAAGGAGCAGCCGCGCAAACCCTGCCCGAATGAAACAACGGCAAACAATACGCCCACTTGGGTCCCAATCGCGTCGGGGCCGCCATGGCCCATCCACCACCATGCCTCCTGGCACCCTGAGGCATGGTACAGTGCCAGATACTGTCTGGTAGGGTTCCTGTTTTTGTGCTAACTTCCAAAGGCTGCCCAATCTCGCCCCAAGACGGCCCAGGATGGCCTCGAGACGGCCCAGCAGGTTCCCACGACGCCCCAGAGGGATTCGAAAGGACCCCCAGGAAGACCCGAATATGTCAAACTCATACATTCCCAATGTTTAGAACAAGCGGCTCACCAAGATTGCCCTGAGAAGGCCCAAGAGGCCCCCGAGAGGGCCCAACAACAAAAGACAACTACAGACAGCGGGGGTCCGCTGACCCCCGCTGTCTTTGTTGTTGTTGCTGTTGTTCAAGATGTGGAACGCTTTGTGCAGAATCCTTGTGAGGGGTGCGTCGAAATCAGTAGGTAGACCGAACACATAAGAAACGTTGATTGTGTGCGTGCCCGCACGAGGGTTCGCGTCTCGCGCGCATACTAGTCGAGAATGTCTCGTTCGAGCGAAACACCTGCTGTGAAGAAGCGCCTCAGATCGCCAAGGCGGATATCTAACACGACGATGTGTTGAGGACGCCTCGGGCGAAACGCATGGTTTACAATGGGTTCCTGCCGCCCGTGGGCGGGAAGCATATGTTTTCACATGGGTTCCTTTCGTCTGTGAGCTCAAGCCAAGTGTTGTGCATGGGTTTCTTTCGCCCCTGCGCCAACACCATGTGTTTCTACGTGAGCTCATTTCGCACGTAAGCTCAAACCACATGTCTTTACATATGTTCCTTTCTCCCTTGAACCCAACCCTTGTGTTATACATGGGTTATCTTCGCCCGTGAGCGCAAGCCGTGTGTGTTTACATGGTTCATTCCGCCTATGAGCGCAAGCAATGTCTGTTCCCCCCTCAAAAACTCCACACACACCTCCACCTCCACGTCCTCGTCCTGGCTGTGCAGCGGGTTCCTTTCTCTCGTGGGCCAACACTATTATTCTCTATCTGGGTTCTTTTCGCCCTTGACTCAAGACATAATGCTCTTACGTGGGTTTCTTTCGCCCGTGTGCCCTAACCATGTGTTCTGAAATGGGTGTATTATGCCCGTTCGCCCAAATCCTGTGTTTTACATCGGCTCGTGTCTCGTGTCGCCTGTGAGACCAGCTCCCAAGAAGCTCAAGGAAACCCCGGGAGGCTCCAGGAGGCCCCAGGAGGGCTGAGAAAGTCCCAAGAGCCCAAACCATGTGTTTCTGCATGGGTTCCTTTTGCCCAGGGTCGTAACCACGTGTTTTTTTACAGTGGCTCCTCCCATCCATTGACCCAAACCTTCTGGTGTTACATGGGTTCACTTCGCCCGTGTGCCCAAACCATGTGACGCTTTACATGGGTGTCTTTTGCCCGTGAACGAACACCATGTGTTTGTACATGGGTTCTTTTTGTCCGTGGGCCCAAACCGCGTGGTTCTACATGTGTTCCTTGCGACAGTGAGCCAACACCATGTAATTCCGCATGGGTTCCATTCACACGTGAGCTCAAGTCATGTGCTATTACATGTGTTCCTGTCGACCTTGAGCTAGACCATGTGTCTCTACACGTGTTTATGTCGCTCGTGAATGCAAACCGTGTGCTCTTACATGGGTTGCTTTCGCCTGTGAGTGCAATCAACATGTTGTTACATGGGCTCCTTTTGCCCGTGAGCCGACTCCATGTTTTTCCCAGCCATCCTGTGGTGTTGGGTCCTCGTGTTGAAAAGACAGCGCCCCGCGTCTCCTCCTCCTTCCTCCTCCCTCCTCCTCCCCCTCCTCCCCAGTGCCTGACACGTCCAGGGCACGCACCCTAATACGTCCCCTGACACGTCCCCTGGCGCATCCCCTAGTGCGCCCCTGGCACATCCCGTGGCGAGTCCATGCGCCCTGCGCCCTGTGCCGTATCGTTCCGTTTCGGAACTGAGTCGGATTTTAGCTCGAGCTGATTGAGCGTTCCGCACGTTCCGACCGCAACCAGCCCTGGGCCAGCTATACGCTCAGGCAGCTCGAGCTCAAAATCCAGATCTATTCGGATAGGATTCGGATGCTATAGACTACTCGATCCACAATGCTACAGGGCACAATGGCAGCATGGCACATCTCAACTCAGTACGGCACAGCACAGCACGCCCCCTGGCACAACACATCACGGTCGATACACTCAACATTGCAATTGCCCGTCGCCGAATCCAATGCCTCACACTTCTAAAGTCCTTTCCGGGTTCGTGGGTCGGTCATGTTTTCTCGAAAAGACTCGGGGATCTTCTCTCCCGGGCCAATCCAAACACCTTCAGTCAGGCCTTGCAAGATCCTGCGAACTCCTGCAGGATCCTGCAGGACCCTGCATCCAAGCCTGGGTCAATGCACCCCTGGCCCTGCAGGATCCTGCAAGATCTGGCGCCACGTTTGCATTGACCCCCGTCTCATGAGCCCTGAGGGACAACGTCCGCGACGCCGGCGCGTCTGACAGGAACCGCTGTCGGCCTTCGTCCCCGCTCTCTCCAAGCCCTCTTCGATTGTACCCTGCGTCACCCAGCTTCGCGCATCGCGCCCCGTGATGCACGGCACGCGTTGATCTTTGCGCCATCGCGCACCCTCGCTGCCCCCGCCCCTAGAGAAAGACAGCCGCTTTGGCCGAGACCGCGACGCGCGAAGCGCGATCATCTTCGCGCCCCCCGGGTGACCCCAAGCACCGAGTCCCGATGATCATCGACGAGCTTCAAGGCACGGCAGGGCTTCCAAGAGTCCCACGAGCAGGCGCCGAAGGGCGCTCGTGTCAGAGTCTCTCTCTGGTCCGAGGGGGGCGCCTGGAGGAGGCGGTCCTTCGCTACGTCCGCTGGCTTGCTGGCGACCTGCGCTGGGGAGCAAGGGCGAACGAGAATGGAGGCTCGAGGAGTCCCGTGCAGCGGCTCATGGTGCGCGTCGAGGGCAAAATCGAAGCAGAACAGCGACTCTGAAACATACTTGAGATGACATGTGAAGGGCTCTCGACATTCTGTGGTGCAACTTCGGGTGAGCTTCCCAACAAAATACACTGCCGCTACTGGGACGTGCACGCGAGAGAATGTGCGAACGCTCGCGATCGGCCCACGAATTCCGACCAGGGAAAAGGATGTGAAGGAGTGGGAGGGGAGGATGAAACGAAGGGAAGAAGGAAGGTAGGGGAGCGAGAGGACCGGAGGTTGAGGGTAGCTCTCAACTCTGCATGCCATTGCACGGTAGTTTCCGCAGCGCACCGACCGAGGGCTGGGGGGCGCTGACAGGGCACACCCCCGTCTGGGATGCCAGACTCCCTTTCCCCTCCTTGCCCTCCTGTTCCGGATGTCGAGGGGGAGGAAAGGATGGGACTTGAGTGGGGAAGAGTGATGGAGAGGAGAAAGCGGGACGGGGAGGGGATATGGCAGGATTTTAAGGAAACCAGAGGAGAGGATATGACCAAATGGAACAACAGGCCAGGGGGACAGGCCATCAACGAGCAAATGTGGCTGCCGCTCGCCTTCCAAATTGGATAATCGCGTCACGTGCCTCCGTGTCTCATGCTTTGTAAATTGGCGCGGCGCTACACGTTGGACGCTGGGCGCTCTTCCTGCCCCCCCTCATCGATTCAACTGTTCAAACGAGCGCGGCTAACTGATGTTGCTGGTCTGGGGGCGCTGCTGGTTGCGTTCGCGCTGTCGCGGGCGCTGCCACTGGCGGCAGGGAGCCCGCCGAAAACAGTCACGGGGGGCGGAGGTGGCGGAAGCCCTAGCGAAACCCAAGCGGATCTCGAGACTCCAAGAGACCCTGGAAACCAAACGCCAATTTCAGCACACCCCTCGCGCAGATTGCGGGCGCTGAAGCTGGGCCCAGAAAGCGCGCACGGCGAAGCCAACCACGAGGGGCGGAGTTGGCAGACGTCCCAGCCAAACCCAAGGGGGAACATCGAGAGACCCCACGTGACCCTGGAGACTAAACGCAAATTTCAGCACACCCCTCGAATGGATTGCGGGCGCTGCAGCTGGCCCCAGAAAGCGCGCAAGGCGGAACCAGCCACGGTAGGCGGAGGGGGCGGAAGTCTAACAAAACCCTGGGGGGACCTCGACTGACCCCAAACGACCATGGAGAACTGACGCCGATTTCAGTGTACCCCTCGCGCGGATCCAGCCGCGGGGGCGTCGGGGGCCACGTATGCAGGGCACCTGCCACTCCCAAGAACTTGATGCCACTTCTGCGATACAATGGATCACCAGTACAACCTGGGATGGTATATTTGAAAAGTGAATGTGGGGGGCGGGCGCATGGTCCCGGCAATGGTCTCTACGGGGCATGCATGGGCGATGCGTCCTCGATTGTTGTGTTCGGCGGGGGGGCCAAAGGAAGCTCCCCGCCTGCACCATGCGCGAGACTTGAAGGTGAACGAAGCAAGAAAGCGGGGGGCTGGGGAAGGGCGAAAAAGGCAACGTGCGCTGATGGCGCAAGAAGAACAGGTTGGAACCAACGAAAGGCGGTGATGTGAGTGTCCAAATCTGCTCAGCCGATCTGACATGCGGAACAGTGCGCCTCAGTTTTGGCGATCTTGATGGCCAGGGCAGAATGTGAATTCACACCGCGGGAAAAACCTGTTGGGAATTCACCTGTCGGGGAAGAAAAGAAACTGTGAATTCACACTTTGGAGAAAAAGGAAACTATGGATCCACATTTTGGAATTTTGTCTAGGAGTCTGCATGCAGAAACCAGAATGTGAATTCACAGTTTGGGAGGAAGGGAAATCTGAATTCACATTGTGGAAAAAAGGAAGGTGTGAATTTACATGTCGGGAAAATCGCGGGACCCGTTCCATCTCGGTCTTGGGGGTCGACAAGTCATCGCTGGGGAAAATGCGCGATCATCAATCGCACAATCAAGACACACTTGCACTCCACTTCGCCGCCCCGCGCGCGATATGCAAGAGCGCCCGCGCGCATGTACGATGAATAGATGGACGGCGCGTTTGCCCGCGCCGGCAACGCGCGGGCACGAACGACTGGCCCTCCATGGCCGCCAACATTGGATGCCAATCGTGCCCGATCGCGTACATGAGCGATACATTGAGCACGCATGGGCCATTCAGACCCCATTGAACACCCCCCATGGCAGACCCCTTCTTTCGCCCTCTGATATATGAAACCCCGAAGTGCGAGGGGCATGCTGGGGGCCCCGCCCCGGACATTGCTAGCGTCGGGGGTCTGACCACCTTCTCACCTCGCTCCTTCTTCCCTCTTCTATTGCGACATCGTCACCACTGCGCGCAGCTCGTGTGCGCAAGACCCGACATTGCCGCTGCGATCGCGGCGCCGCGGCGGGTGCCGCCTCCTGGGCTGCTCGCGGGCTGCCGCCTCTTCGCTGGCGCCTTTTCCTGCCGGGGCGATGCCGCGGTCGCGCCGGCTCCGTCCTCGCGACATCGTCCGCGGCGCACTGACTGGGGCTGTCGCCGCGGGGCGGCCGCTCTCTCCCCCAGCGGTTGACTGACTCTCGGTGCACTTCGGCGGCTAACGCCGCGTCGTCGAGAACGTGCCCCCACGGGTCTATTGTCGCCACGTGCGTCATGAGAGACTCGTCGAAATTCGTAAATTTCTCATTGCAGGGGTCGCCCGCCCCCTGGTTCCCCTCGCGCGGTAGCGAGCCCAAGCTCAGCATCATCTTGAATGGGCGCCGCTCCTCCGAGAGATCCGTGAGCTCGGTGGAGTCAAGGCCCCTCAGACGCAGCATTCGAGTCAGCGCTGTCATTCAGGCTCCTTAATTTGGCAACGACTGGGATGGTGGCAAGCGCGCTGCAGGACGCCCGCGCAGGTAACAATTTCTGGAGGGCACTCAGCAGACGGTCGAACGTCGGCGATCTGAATCTGCTTCTGACGGCTCTCAGCCCACGGAGACATTCGAGCTGACGGGGCCCCGGGCGACCTCATCCACGGACCCAACATCTTCGGGGCGAGAGGGGGTCAGCTGGCATCTCTTCGTCGCAGGTTTGCATCCATGTCGGGTTCGGCTAAGTAAGTCGCTGTCTAACGTCCTGCCAATATGCTAGAGCGCTGGGGCTAGATTCAGGCGCGCAAGTGCCAGCGGCGAGCTTGAACGCGTGGATTGTTGGATTCGCTTTCCTCATGCCCAGAAGTGTCTATCAAATTTGGGATGCGTTGGTTGCTGCGTTCAGGGGCCTGTCCGGAAAACGTCGGTCCAGGAATGTCAAGGATCCAACGTCGGCTCTGACTGCCAAACGTTCTTTCTTTCTTTCTTTCTTTCGAGGGGGAGAGAGAGAGAGAGAGAGAGAGAGAGAGAGAGAGGGAGGGAGGGAGAGGAGAGAGAGAGAGAGAGAGAGAGAGAGAGAGAGAGAGAGAGAGAGAGAGAGAGGGAGAGAGAGAGAGAGAGAGAGGAGAGAGAGAGAGAGAGCGCGCCCGTGGTTCACTCCCAGAAGGGGGGGGGGGGGGGGCCTTGGCTCACCCTCCCCCCCCGTGGGCCTCACCTACTGAAAGCTCCCACCCCCGCCCCCCCTGCTTTTCTCGCGCCCCTCGAAAGCCACCCCTTTCCTTTTCGCGCTCCAGAAACTCACCGCCCCAGAAGCTCTCCCCCCCCGCCCCCCTCTCCAAAGGGGGAGGTTTAGCTACCCCCGCCCCCCGTTGGACCTCCTTTCTCCCGCCCCTCGAAAGCTCCCCCCCTGTGAATTGTGGGGGGTCAAGACCCTTTTTCCCCTTGTTTCACTGGACTGACATGCTTACCTGCAGCGCCGGCGTTTGGGCCCAAGCAAAAGGCCCCCCTGCCCCCCAGAGCGGCTGCAACGGGGGACTGGCAACAATGGCGGGACATCGGTCGATTCGATCGAATTCTCCGAGCTGCGCCCGCCCCGACGCGCTGAGGCTGATCGAGGGAGGGAGCGCGAGTGAAAACGAGGTTGGTAGCGGAACTCCGCTGTTGGCCCCATGGCCCCCAGGAGAGATTGCTGGGACTAGCCACCCCGACGAGCCATGGCGAATGGAGATAACTACGAGACTACAACAGCGCGGTGGATCCCAAGATGCGGTGCTGAAGGGTGAGACCCTGGAGGACTTCACCAGGTACAGAAGGGCAGTGCAGGCGGCGGAGCTAGGATGCGAATCAAAGGAACAGCGCGCCGCTGTATGCCCGAAATTGCATCAAAACCTCATCGGCGCGGACAACTCTATCAGCGTGCTGATCGAGAGAGCGGATCCGAGAGACTGCATCCCCAGGCCGAACATTCTTGTCCTATTCCATGGGAGCGCATGGAGCCATGTGGATCCAATTACGCGCGTTCGAGAGTCACGTGGATCCAATTTCCGTGTCTTGTGGGTCCCATTTGTGTAGTGAAAGCTTCGTGGATCCAATTCTTCTGCTCGAATAAATGTTCAATGGCAAGTCATGCAAGGGGCCCGAGGGGAAATGGATCCACGGAACCTTGGACCAGCAGCCCAAGCGATGATTCTACGGGGGAGGGCCCCCCTACCGGGAGTCACAACGCGCGGGGGCGAGTAGGGGAACGCAGACCAGGGGCGGGCGAAGATGACGGCGAGGGGGGAAGGGCGGAGAGGAGGGAGAGGGCGACGACGAGGAAGAAGAGAAAAGACGAGAAAGAGGAGGAGGGCAATGGAATAATCAGGAGGAGGGAAGGAGGAGAGCGGAGGACGGAGAAAGAGGAGGGAGGGGGGAAGTGCAAGGAAGGCGGGAGAGGAAGAGGGACGACACTTCGCATGTGCCATGTGGGCCTCAAGAGGGAAATCTTTCGGCCTGCTCAAGTATGCTGTCGAGGGCGGTGCGAATGAGCTGCTCAAGTTTCTAGACCGAACGCTGGGCGAAGAGCAGTTTCCGCGAGCTGCCGAAGGCGTTCGACGCGTTCTTCGACTTCGCGCCCTTCGAAAAGAAAGGCGAAGCGCTCGTGGCTGCGCGCTGCGCGGCCATGGAGGTGGAGAGGCGGAACTTAGGGGGGGCGGGCCCGGGCGCGAAGATCAGTTCGAATGAGCTCGGGCACCAGGCGCTGAAGCGCAGCGGCCTGGACAAGGAGGGCGAGCGCAAGCTGGCGATAGCGAGGGCGGGCGAGGCGCTCAATTTCATTAAGATCTCAACGACGCCGAAGAACCTCCTCCCTCGCGGTGGAAGCAGGCGCCGAGGACAAGGTGCGAGGACGGGCTGGAAGTGGACGATGCGCGCGAGCGACTCCGATAATGGACAGGCTGATGCAGAGGGCCCGCGCAGGGGGGAGTACTGGGCCCAGGGCGACGACGGGCACCGGAACGAACGGGGCGACGATCGCGGAGTCTACGCGCGCACGGACGAGGGCGAGGAAGGCGACTGGGACAGCAGTCGCCTGTTCTACCTCGAGGACGGAGCCGGCGCGTTCCTGGCTGGAGAAGGCGACGACTATCACCAAACCATGACCGCGATGCGAGAGAGCCGCCTCAAGATGAACAAACCACGGGCGGCGAGGAGATTCTTCAAGGGAAGAATCGACGGTGTTGTGGGCGAAGGGAATGCGGCAGCCGGCGGTCGCGCAGCTGGCAGGAAACCCGGGAAAGGCAAAGGCAAGGGCAAGGGCGGCGGCAAGTGAACAAGCGCTGCAACAAATGCGGCAGGATGGGCCGCGACGCATCGGAGTGCCCGGCCAGCGGATAATCGGGAAAGCCAACGAAGGGCAAGGGCCGCGGCAAAAGGACGAAGTCAGCCCCTCGCCCGCGACGGCTTGGTTTCTGGGCGATGAGCGCTCTGGCGTGTGCAGTGCCATCCCGCGTGGGCGGCATACGCCAGATGTGAGGCCCGAACATGAAGCGCATCTACATGCAGCCCGAGAAAGACTACGGCATCATGATGGTGAATCTGGACAGCGATCCGATCGTGCCGGACAGGCCCGAGCTCGAGGTGATGATCTCAAGGGGCGTCGTGCCGGCGCCCCTAGTGCACAGCGGGGCCTCGGTTGCAGTTGGAGAACGCGGATGGCTTGATCGCGTCGAGGCAGAGCTCGCGAAGCACGGTCTCACGCCCGTCAAGGTGGAGGCCCACCAACAGTTCAAGGGATTCAGTGGAGCACGACGTGAGTCGAAGCAGAAGTGGATCATCCCGGTGGGCATCGGGAAGAAGCATGCGCTGCAGGAGTAATCCAATATCCCTGGCGACATGGTCGGCCTGACGAGCAGGAAGGATCTCGCCGAGTGGAAGACGAACCTCTACATGCGCGAAGGCGGCCACTGGACGAACTTCCAGGAGCTCGGGGTGCATGGCAAGGATTTGGTAAAACTATATGTTGGCATGCCGGCCTTGACCTCTTCGACTACGACCTCGAGTCGCACGAGTCGGAGCCCCACTTCGAGAGGTTCCGCACGGGCGAGATGCAGCTCGAGCCGGACGCGTTCCTGGTCACGGAGACGCTGCAGGAGTCCGAGCCGGGCTTCCAGGTGAGGGAGCGCGCCGACTCGTGGGTCGCGGAGGCTCTGAAGAACGGCAGCAAGGGCATATTCAAGAAGGGCGCGCTCGAACGGATCGACAAGTTGATGAAGGCATATTCTGTCATTTTCGACGTACTCCGCGACAGCCAGGAGACCTTCCTGCGGGAGCTGTTTGCGAAGGGGGCTCGCTTTACTCGCGTAGCCTCGAAGGGTGGTCATGCGAACGCGACCCCGTCAGAGTTGTCGGTCGGGGTTAACTTCAACGACCCCTAGACCCAGTCGGATTTCCTGTTCCTGATCAACACCTTCGAGCCCTGGATGGTCTCGGTCGCGGTCCCATGCATACCTTTCTTGAACATGCAAGAGCTTCAGCGTGCTCAAGGCATGGGCGACCGCGTGGACGACCTCATCGAGGAGTTCGGGCCGCCGGTTGATTTCTCGGCCAAGGTGCTTCGTACTCAGGCTGGAGGTGGACGCATCGGCATCGGCGAGAACCCTCTCACAAGCCGTGCTTCGAACGAGGAGCCGATTATGGATTTGTTGCGCCGGCGCGGTGAGCGACCTCCACTGTGCGAGATGATCACCCTACACCAGTGCATGCTTGGACTGACGGATGACTATGGGGCACCGATTCGGAGGGCCACGCGCATGCTGGTACCCAGCGGCTCATGCTTTCCGCGGCGTCTCGAGCGCAAGCGCGACCAGCGCCACGAGCGTGCCGACGCGGTCGGACGAGGCACTATGCTCTCGCGGAGCAGTGTCTGGCCGGAAGACCTGGGCAAGACCCTGGCGAGCGCTGGCACGCATGAGCTAGCGCGGCGCACCGGCCTGAAGAAGCTGGGTATCTGAGACGGTGCGACGAAGGTCCCAGACCAGCAGACCATGAGCACGGTGGCCAAGGAGTTCAGGCTGAGGAAGGGCCTGATCGACGTTCGCGTGCTGAGGCAGGACGAGGCGGTTCCCCCGCCTCGCGGAGCTGTGCGACGCATCTACGCCATGTACACCGACAAGGGCGTGCTCGCCGACTTCTCTGACGCCGACGCGGACGACCCGAACTCCGCGACGGTCGAGCTCGCCACGAGGTATCCAGACGACGCGGTGGTCGCGATCTACGTGAAGGAGCCGAAAATGCAGACGTTCTTTCCCGCGACGGCCCATTCACTTGGCAGCCGGCCAGAAGCATTCAGGCCTGACGATCGTGAAGCAGACGCAGTACATCGAGATCTACATCGCGAAGGTGAGTGTTTCGGCGACAAGCCTTCGGACATCGCCGCGGCTCAGTGGGGCGCTCTGAAGAAGCTCCAATTGAACCTGAGCCACCCATCGGCGCACGCGCTGACGCCTGAAGTCCAACGGGGCGTCGCAGAAAGTGCTCGACGCGGTGGACAAGCTGGACTGCGTCGTGTGCAAGGAGCTCGGCAGGCCCAATGATGCGAGGTCGGCCATCCTGGAGCTCTCGACGGAGTTCAACGAGGGCGTGTCTCTGGACGAAGCCAAAGTGGTTCTCTCAGACATGACACGGTTGATGGTGATGCCGATCCTGGATGGCGCGTCGAGCTTCATGGTCATCATTCCTACTACGGCAGCGCGGCCATTCGCAAGCGAGGAGAACCTTCGTCGGATATCGTTGAGAAGAGCAACATCCTGATGGGGACGGCCCCGGCAGAGGCGCCTCTGCTCAGGGGCCGAGTGGAACGGGCTATCGATTAAGGCCGAATTCCAGCGCCAAAGCCGCGACGTGCAACTCACCAAGAGTGACGACCCATCCGTGTGGACTTCGGTGATAACGAGCACGCGCAACGACCGCATCCGACGGAATGGTTTCACGCCCTACCAATACGTGCTGGGGCGATCGCCCAACGCCTCGGCCTCGCTGTCCGAAGCGATGGAGGGCCATCAGAGGCAGCTGGCGGCGCAGAGCGCAGCACTCTTCGAGGATGGCCCCAGGAAGGCCGAGAAGTATCGCGCTGCGGCGAACCGACCGTTTTTCGAGCTGGACAGCGGCGACGCCGTGAGAAGGGCCACGGTTGGTCGGGTTCGCCTGCCGCGCGGGCCCTTCGTGTCGGGCCAGCTGGCATTCTACTGGCGCGAGGTGCAGCGCGTCAAGTCGAAGCGGCTCCAGGGCGAGCGCGGGCGGCGCGGCCAGGCCACTGTGCTGGCGGCCGAGGGCCACGTTGGGCTGCGCCTCAACTACCGCGGGGCGCAGGTGCTCGCGACGCCCGAGCAGGTGCGGCATGCCTCTCGCGGCGAAGCCGAGATTGTGGAGAACGAGGACCTCGCCAGGGCGCTGCCGCAGTGGCGCGGAGGGCCTGCCCTTCAGAAAGGCTTCGTGGACGAGCTCGGGCCTGGGCCTGACGGGAGTGGTGGCCAGCGCGACAGGCGTCGCAAGAAGGGCGACGGCGACTCAGACAATGAGGGCGCCATGGGCGACGCGCCGGCGACCAAGACGCCGCGGGCCGAAGAAGCTCCGCCGCCTCCCCTGAGGAGGTCCGAGGCTACTCCCAAGCGGGGGGGGCTGGTCATGGAGGAGGACGCACCTGAACCTGGAGTGCGACCCGTAGTACCACCACTACCTGGAGATCGACACGACAGCCAAGACGATAAAGATGATGATGCACCCGGAGATGGAAACGATATGCAATATGCTACGGCAAAACACCCACGTGCACTCGGTGCAGCTGGGCAGGAGCGCGCCGCGGACCTTCGCAGCAACGACCTGAGCAAGAAGGACGGCCAGAACCTGCGCCACAAACTGGCTCTCGAGGGCCCCTCTACAAGCGATCACTACCTAACGGCTTCGAAGCAGATCGCAAACGACTTCGCGTGCGTCGCGAAGGTCTCCGGCATAGCCTCTTCCCGAGGATCGAGGGCGACGAGATTGACGACGAAGCTCTCCTCCTCAAGGTGCAGAATCGCTCGAGGGACGCATTTGCGGCAAGGCGGACTGACGCTGCGAAGAAGCAGGGTGCCCCGAAGAAAGCTCGGGAGCTGCGCGGCATTCCGCCAAAATGGAAGACGGCATTCGAGGCGAGCGACCCGGAAGAGTGGCGTAAGTGGATTCAGTACGACGCTGTGAAGTGGCCGAAGAGGAGCTCGCGGGCGTCGAGAAGGCGGACATCCTGCCCACGAGGCGCGCCCGCACAGACAAACGAGTCGCGGAACATCGTCCCAGGCCACAAGGATATGCAGTTGCTCGCGGGCGAGTTGCAGACGAACGCGCCGACGCTCACCGACGCGGCCGCGGCGGTGATCACCCGGGAAGCTGCCGGCCAGCCTGGCTGGAGCCTCGAGCAGGGCGACGTAGTTTCGGCATTTCTGAATGGGAGATATCTCGAAAGCCCCAGGCGCGTGTACTTCCGCGTTCCCAAGGACGGCGCGCCTGCGGTGCCGGAGCTGGGGTGGCCGTTCGCCCCGGAAGAGACTACCCTGAAAGCGAAGGAGGGCATCTACGGGTTGAACGCTGCACCTCTGTTGTGGCACGAAGAGCATCGCGATGTCATCCTATCGCTTCCCGGGGCTTCGAGCTCCAAGCTGCGCCCAGCCCCCTACGTCCTCCGCGACGAGAGGGGGGTGCTGATCGGTCTGATCGGGACACGCGTCGATGGCGACCTCGTCGCGGGATCGCCCGAGTTCTTAGCGAATCAGGTGGCCAAGCTGAGGAAGGTGCACTGCTGCGGCATGTGGCAGACGGCGAAGGTGGGGTTCCACCACTGCGGGCGCTTCCTCATGCAGAACGACAACGGCGCGATCGCATGCAGCCAGAAGGAATAGGAGCGCACGGAGAACATCGAGAAGATTCCCATCTCGGCCGAGCGTCGGAAGGCTAAGGGGGCGAAGGCCACGGCGGAGGAAAGGGCTATGCTCCACAGTGGCAACGGCCAGATCCAGTGGCTGGTCCGTTCTACGAGGATGGATTTGGCGTTCCGGCTGGTGGGCAGCCAAGCTCGGGCTCGCGACAGCGACTTGAAGGCGCAAGACCTGCTGGACTACAACGAGCTCGCGAGCGACGCCAAGACCGACCACGTGGACATAACGTCTCAGAAAATAAACGTGGACCGCGTGATTGTGGCGGCAGTGGGGGACTCGAGCCACGGCAACGTGGGCAAGACGAAGACCGCTAGCCAGGCGGGCCTGGTCGTCTTGCTCGCGGACAACACCGACGATCAGTTCCTACGCGGGCAGCCTGCTAAGGTTACCCCGACGCTGCGGCGATCGCATCGCATCAAGCGAGTGGCACGGAGTACACTGGGGGCTGAAGCGATGGCAGCGCTGGAAGCGGTCGAGAGAGGCGACGTGCTGAGGCAGCACCTGGTGGAGTTGCACCATGCGCTGGGCTACCAAACCCGCATGGGCGACGTAGAGGCGGTCAAGATGGTGGAGGTCGCGGGATGCAAGTCGCTCTACGACCTGCTCCAGATGCGAAAGGCGGCCCCGGCCGGCAAGCGGCTGCACGCCGACGTCGAATCGCTCAGGAAGGACATTGAGTTCAACGGCGTGGTGAGAAAATGAGAACACCATGCAGGTGCTCGCCGACGGTCTCACTAAGCAAGGCGCCCGCGAGGGCGACTACATGAGGCACGTGCTCCGAACGGGCGAGCGCCGCTTGACGGAGGACCCCATGGCAGAGCAAGTGATCTCCGAGCAACGGATGGAGCTGAAGGGTCGCAGGGGCGAGTGCTACCGCTCGAAACATCCGCGTCGGCATCGGCCTGCCGACCAGCCTCTCGCACGGAAAGGCTACGCATACTTCGGGGACTGCGTCGCGGACCTGGGGCGCAATGCGCACGCGGCCCGGCATGCCCCCAAGTGCTATCTCCATTGGCAGATAATGCTCGGCCTGCGCGAGGTCGGTATCTACTGCGAGAAGCTCGAAGACATGGTCGACTGGCAAAAAAACAAATGGCGAAGCGTCGGAAAATTGCGACCCATGTGCGCAAGTTGCCGACGATCTGCGCGCCGACCAAGGAGGCTCTCGAGCGCTGCGAGAAGGACTTCGCGGAGGAGCACAACCTGAAGAGGACGGACGCGACCAAGGACGCCGATCGCCACGAGGGCACAAATGTCCTTTCGGACGAGGGTGTGCCGGCGGAGTCGGACGAGAGCCAGAACGCGGACGGCTCGGCGGACCTGGCCGACGTGAAGGAGATCTACATGATGGGCGCCGCGGGCGCCGAGACCGAGGAAATCGGGGGGGGGGGCGCTGCTGGAACTGGCACAGCGCGGGCGGCGCGCGCGGCGCGCCGGATGGCGGTGGGCCAGTGCGAGCGCCAGCCGAGGACTCGCAAGAAGGCCTGCCCCGAACAATGGCGATGAGTGGGTCGAGATTCCAGGCGAGACCGAGCAGTCCGGAGCATCGACAACCAGGAAGAAGACGACGGGGTCACCGATGGATAAGGCTCGAAGGCTTCATGAGCGCTTGAAGCACGCATCCTGTTAGCAGGCGAAGCGTGACCTGGGCGACGAACTGGAAGATGATATCCTCGAGGCGTACCAGCTGGCGGTCGCAAGATGTAGCAAGCGCCGCCGAGCTAGTCGCGACACAGAAGACATCCCATAAGGCAAGAGCAGCGAGGATGGAAAAGGCAAGTCAAGGACTGCGTGCAGAGTGGACCCAGACGAGCGTGTACATCCAGCGGATCAGCTCACGACTGTGGGCACCAACCAGTACGCGGAGAAGGTGCGCTGCCGCCTGCGCGACGGACTGGTCGCGGGCCGGGGCGCGAAGCGGGGGCGCGAAGCGGTGGTCCGAGGAAAAAGAGCTTCGCGCAGAAGTCAAGGCGATTCGCCTCGAAAAACAAAAGCAGGAGCTCTTGAGCCGGTCGAGAGCACCGACGGCCGGGCGACCCTCGGCGGGATGAGATATTGCATGACGCAGTCGTTCGTGGGTGAGCGGCACCTGCCAATTTATACGCATTTCTTGGTTGTTGTTGAACTGAGCCAGAGTCGGCTCGCAAGCACGCTTTGCCAGAGAAAACAATATTAGTGTGAATTGTGGGTGGTCAAGAGCCGTTCTCCCATGTCTCACTGGACTGACGTGCTTACATGCAGCGCTGGCGTTCGGGCCCAAGCAAAAGGGGCGCCTGTCCCCCAGAGCAGCTGCATCGAGAGACTGGCAGCAATAGCAGGGCATCGGACGATTCGATCGAGTTCTCCGAGCTGCGCCCACCCCGACACGCTGAGGCTAATCGAAGGGGACAGCGCGAGCGAGAACGAGCCCCCCCCCCCCCCCCCCCCTTTCCAAACGGGGGGGGGGTGGGGGTGGCATAACCCCCCCCCCCCCCCTGCCCTTGAACCCCCCCTGTGGCGCGCCCCCGCCACCCCCCTTTTTGGTTCAAGGGGGGGGCGCTTGGAAGCCGCACCCTCCCCCTTTGGCCCCTGGAAGGGGCGCCGGAGACCAAGAGGGCGCCGCAGACCAACGGAGCGCCGAAAACCAAGGGGCCACCGAAAAACCGAAAGGGTGCGAAAACCAGAAGCGCGCCGAAAATCAAAGGAACACCGAAAACCAGCAGGGCGCCGAAAACCGAAGGCGCGCCGAAAAACGAAGATGCGCCGACTGCCAAAGTCGAGCTGAAAACCAAAGGCGCGTCGAAAACCAAAGGGGCACCGAAAAACAAAGAGGTCCGCCGAAGGCAAGAAGGGACCCGACAACCAAAAAGATGCCTAAAACCAAAGATACGCCGAAAACCAAATGGGCGCCGAAAAAAAAACCGGGGGCGCCGATGACCGCCAGGGCGTCGAACACCGCAAGAAAGCCCAGACCAAAGAGGCGCCGAGAACCACAAAAAGGTTCCGAAAACCAGAAAGAGCGCCGAAAACCAAAGATGCGCCGAAATCCAACTGGCCCCGAAAACCACGCAGGCTCCGAAAACCAAACGGGCACCGAAAACCAAAGAACGGCAAACCCAAACGGGCGCCGAAAACCAAAAAGGGGCGCCGAACATGAACGGGGCTCCGAAAACTGACGGGGCGCAGAAAACAAATTGGGCGCCGACAACCAAAGGGTCGCCAAGCACCAACTGGGCACCGAAAACCAAATCGGCACCGGAAACAGAACGGAGGGCCGAACACCAAAAAGGCACCGACAGCCAAAACGGCGCAGAAAACCAAAGCAGCACCGAGCAACTTTTTGGTCTGCGGGTCGGGGGCGGGCCCCATCTGGCCAAGAGCTAAACGGGGCGCGGGTAGCCCTAGTTGAGGAGACAGGGCGCGGGCGGGCGGGGCCTCAGGCGGCCGGAGGGCTCAGAAAACAAGCGGTGCCCGAGACCTTGCACAGCGCAAGGTGCGCCACGGTCTGGAACAGGGGGCGCGGTCGCACAAGGAAAGAAGATTGGCGTTGCCGTCATCGGCGCGCCAAGAACACCGTCCTCGAGTGCTGCGCGAGGAGGGCCGTGAGCATGTCAACATCTGCGAGATAAAGGAATACCAGGATGGCGAAATGCACCAGGCGCCGCCGACTGGTCAGGGGGGCCCAGGAGATGCGGACGACCGCGAAGTCGATGTGCAGCGTTGTGCCGCTGGGTGGTCAGTAGCGGCCTGGGGTGTTAGTCCAATCCGCGTCCAGGTAGCAGCCGCGAGGGTCGGCATGAGCGCCCGCCTGCCGTGGGCCGCGCCGGAGCCGCGCTGCCCTGGATGAGCGGGGCCGCCGAGGCGGCAAGGTGCAGAGCCAGCGCCGGGCCAGAGCCGCGCTGCGCCGGGCGCTGCCGCCATGGGAGGGGGGGGGGCGAACGAAGAAAAAGCGGGCAGGGAGGAGAGAGGCCAGCGTCCCGCGCCGGCCGGAGTCCCGCCACCGCGCGCGAGGTGCCCGCGTGGGGGCACGTCCCAATGCGCACAGGTAAGGCCCGAGGCCCCAGCGCGGGCGCGCCACGCGCGCCGCCGTCGCACAGACGCGTCTCAGGTAAGACGAGGGGGGGCACAGTCCCAGATCCTTGAGTCATGTCCAGCCGATGGGTACAGGGGGGACACACAGTCCCAGGTCCTCGAAACGCGCTCAGCCGACGGGTACAGGCGGGACACAGAGTCCCAATTCCTTGGGTACAAGAGAGGAGGAAAGGAGAAGGAGGAGAGAGCAGGTCCAGGTGAACAGGTGAATGCCAACGCTGGGCACTGGGGGGACACAGAGTCCCAGGTCAGGGGAACTCAATCAGCCGATGCATACAGGCGGGACACAGAGCCCTAATTTCTTGGAAACAAGAGAGGGGGAGAGGAGGAGGAGGAGGAGGAGAGGGCAGGCCCAGGTGGCGTCTGGATCCCGGGACGGGGGTGGCAGCGTAGAGGCGTTGCGGTCGCGGTAGCTGCGCTCAGCCTCGTCCCGGGCGGCCGCGCGTCACCGCGCCTCCTCTGGGCTGGGGCGTGCTGCGCCTTCTGCCGTCGACGCGGGGGTGCCTGGTAGCGCGGAGAGAGGTTTGTCCCCTGCTTTTGGGTATACGTCGGGGCCGTATTTTCTGAATATCTCGTTCACGTCTGATGGGCGCATGCCCCCTTGGTGGATAAGGCATTCCATGCAGTGCCAGCCTGCGCGCCAGCGCTCGGCCAGGAACATCTCCCTCAGCAGCTGCGCGGGGGGGGGGCCCGTGGGCCAGGCTGAAGCCGTCGCGGAGTCCTTCTGGATCCGCAGCGCGCCCGTGCATGCCTGGGTAGGCCTGTCCCGGCCCCCGCCGGTGCCCCATCCGCGCCCGAGGGGCGTCCGTCGCACCTCCAGATGCCGACACTCCCCTTGTAGAATTGGCTGATCAGGCGGTCGTCGTTCGTGACGCTGGCTGGGAGGGTGGCCCCCCCGTGGAGGGGGTTCAGGTCGCCTTCCAGCGGGGCCAGCAGCTGCTCCAGGGGCGTCAGGGCCGCGGGTAAGGGCGTCGGACACATCCCAGGAAGGGCACGCGTAGCGCGGACAGGCATGTCGTCGGGGCGGTCGTTGATCCAGGTTTTGAAATCCACGTCGTCAGGAATGGGCTGTCGCTCGGCCATTGCCTTCGTAGTCCAGCAGCATATGCAAAGCCAGGTCAGGTCCTTCCCATGGTAGTACTCCGTCAGCCTGTTGCTGCTGATGGTTTGGCGGATCCGTTTGCTGACGTACGCGCCTTCATCGTGCTTGAAGGGGCCGCGCAGGCATCCTTGACCGTAGAAGTCGGCCTTGTGCTGGTCCTTCTTCCACCTGGTGTCTCGGCTGTCTAACCATTGGGGCCTTAGTGTCACACCAAGGCGTGGCCCGAGAGGGGCCGGTGCGTCCAGGTGTAGGCGCGTATAGGAGTATCCTCCACCTATCCAGGTGACGCTGCTTGCCTGCTTGGTCGGGTCGTGGGTGAGGCCGATGTCGGATCCGATCACGTCGACGTAGAGCGCGCATACAGCGCACTCGTGTGCTTCCAAGGCTGCCAGATCGGCTGTGGACACGATGCCCTCGATGACTGCGAGGGTGGCCTGGAGCGGGAACTTCTTGGGAGAACCGAAAAACACAAGGGAGCCAAACACCACAAGGGCGCCGAGAACCATAGAAGCGCCGAAAACCGAAAGGGCGCAATAACGCCGAACACAAAAAAACGCATAAACCAAAGATGCGCAGGAAACAAAGGGCGCCGAAAACCAAGTGGACACCGAGAACCAAAGAGGCGCCGAAAACCAAGAGGGCGCCGAGAACCAAGGGGGCGCCGAACACCCAAAGGGCGCCGAAAACCAAAAGAAGCGCCGACGACCAAAGGGGCGCCGGAAACCAACGATGCGCCGAAAACCCACACAGTGCCGAAAAAACAGAAAAGGGCGCCGATAACCACCAGGGCGCCGAAAACAAACGGAGCGCAGAAAACAACAGAAGCTGCGAGGGCGAACAGAGCTCCGAAAACAAAAAAGGCGCCGAAAACCAGCGAGGCGCCGAAAACCAAACATGCGCCGAACACCAAATCGCCCCGAAAACAAAAGCTGCACCGACAGCCAAAATGGCGCCGAAAATTAAAGAGTGTCGATGCCCCCAAACAGGCGTCGAAAGCCAACGGGCTTTAAAAACCAACGGCGCGCCGAAAGCCGAAGGGGGCCGAAAACCAAAGGGGCGCCGAAAACCAAGTAGCGCCGAAAACCAAAAGAACGCTGAAAGCTAAAGGGGTGCCGAAAACCAGAGGGGTGCCGGAACCCAAGAGGGCGCCAAAACCCAACGATTTGCCGAAGACCTGAAGGGTGCGCAGAAAACCAAAAAGGGCGCCGAAAACCGAAAGGAGCGCTGAAAACCACAGGAGCGCCGAAAACCAAAGGAGCGCCGAAAACTAAGGAGCCCGGAAAACCAGAGGAGCGCCAAAAATCAAAGAAGCGCCGAAAACCACGAGGGCGACGAACACCCAAGGGGCGCCGAACACCCAAGGGTCGCCAAAGGCCAAAGGGGCGCCGAAAACCAAAGAGGCGCCGAAAACCAAAGCGACGTCGAAAACCACAAGTACGCTGCAAACCAACGGGGCGCCCAAAACAAAAGAAGAAGAGTAACTTCGACGCCCCCCCCTTCAGCCAGGGCCCTCCAGCTGGAAAAGCCAACAGAGGGAGGGGAGGGGGGGGGCCCATTTGGAAAGGGGAGCCGGGGCTTACCCAGGGCCACGAAAAGGAGGGCAGGGCGGGGGTAGCTTCCAAGCCCCCCCCCTCTTTTTAGCCAGGGGCCCCCCAAGCTACAACATCAAAACGAAAGGAGGGGGGGGAGCTTCGGGAGCGCCCCCCCCCCCTTCCTTTGAAAAGGGAGCCCGGGCTGACCATGGGCTCCGGACAAGAGAGGGGGGTGGCTTAGAAGCGCCCCCTCCGTAGCTAGGGCCCCCCGAGCTCCGAAATGCCCACGGAAGGGAGGGTGGGGTAGCTTCGGAAGCCCCCCTCCTTTTTCCAAGGGATGGCGGGGGAGCTTCAAACTGGAGACCCCCTGCTAGCGAGGAGCATACCACGAGCGCGCTCTCTCTTTCCTCGGCAGGATGGGAGCCTGAGGCCTCTAATGTTTGGAAAGGCCCAGTTGCAAACTGGAACTGCGACAATCTTGTCTATACCGACCAGGCGCGTTGGTTTTGACTGTATTTTTTCGGATAGGGCATTTCACGTGGAGCCGACGCCACCGCGTTGCATTCTTGCTGGGCACTCTCCAGCCGTTGACTCATCCATGCATCGAGATTATATCTGCCCAGAGAATTGCCAGCACAGAATTTGCACTGATTTGGAGGAGTTGGTTCCAGATGCCTTCCTGAGGGGGATCTGTTTTCCTGTTTCTGGCTCAGGGGTATTGTTCTTGGGCGATGCGTGGATATCTTGCAATACTTGCTCCAACAATCTTTCCCACGCATCGGGGGGGCCTGACAGCAAAGACGGTTGACTCAGGCGTGTGGGGCTGGCGATCGTGGCGGCTCTATCTCTTAACCCTTTACCATCTGGCCCTTTGCTCAAGGCCCTCTGACAGGGCGGGAGCAGCCGGTCCCAAGGGGAGAATTTAACGCCCTGGAGCTGGCCCTCATGCTTTCAAGGCTCGTGGGATCGGCGCTATGAGCACCCTTCGAGAACCTTGGATGACTTGTGGTGGTCCATTGGCCGCCTTGTGAAAAGCTGCGAATTTCAGATCATGGTGATACAAATTCTCTCACGTGGAAACTACTGGCATCATTCCATATTATTCTCCGTGTTGGTTCTTTCACGGTAATGGGGCGGTGAATTCCTTGGCAGCGGAGGCCGCCAACATTGCGAGATTGCACACTTCGTACATTTTTCGGGTGCAGATTTCTGTAGCGTAAGCCAGGCTGGTGCGGAGACGGCTAATGAAGGCGACGTTGGCGGCGATGGAAACTTATACAATGCTGACGGTTGTCGAAAATCGTGACCGCCCTACCCCCGCCTCTGCTCCTGCCAGGCCCACGTTAGCAATGGCCCTATGTTCCTCCAAGCACAAGGTGGATGCCACAATCGCCCGTTGTCAGGTGCTGCTCAACCTCGTCGGCGGCCTGCCGCTCGGAGTGGCTCCACATCCAATGCGTGGAACTGGATGCCGCCCACATACGGGTGAAGGGAGTCTTTCGTCCCCAAGACGAGGGTCAACATTGGAGGAAATTGGGCTCATGAATCTAACCAACTTGTGTTCCATACTGAGCCTGCTTGTTGGATGTGTAATGCTTACGGTTAATACGGGGAAACTCGGCTCAGGAATCCAGGTAAACCGTGCGATCCCAGGACTAGACAAAGAAGCACAAGGAGTTGTTGGACAGGTGCTCTCTGGTTTTGAGACCCGAGGAGCTGTTGTCCAAGTAGTTTGATTTCCTGACTTTGCCAGTGGTCTCATCCACCCATTCAATTCCATTCCATTCAACTGGAGGCCACCCAAATGGGGTCGAACTAGATGGGGTCGGGGGACCGTGCCGCATCGCCGATGCATAGCCGATGCATCGGCGATGCACCCGCGACGTCGGCGTGGAGAACATCGGACTCTAAATCGAGCCGCATCGCCGATGCATCGGCGATGCGACGCGATCCACCGACCCCATCTGCTTCGAGCCTATTTTGGCAACCTGGACCTCCACTTCCCGTCCCTCGCCTCCCCGTTCTATCTCCCGCTGTCCAGGTAGCCTCGTTCAGCGCGGCCAGCACCGTCGAAGCGTGCGGCCATACCTCTGAGGCTCGCGGGTCCATCCCTCGCACGCGCAGCAGGGGACACGTGCACAACATAACGAAAACAATACAAACATCGTCATACGAAGACAATGCCCATGCACCGTACCGTGCTTGGATTCCCTTCAAGCCCCACACCAAACCGGTGCGGTGCATAATTTCCCGGCTCTCGGGGCCGAAAACCTGCGCAACATACCGTTCCTGTGTCGAGGAGCGACGACGCCTCGGGAGACGCAAACACGGTGCGATGCACGCAAGTCGTCCGTGGAAATCAAAGGCTCCGAGGAAAATTCGTATTGCACAGCATAGCTAGCACGCTGCGCATCACACGGCTCGAGATAAATCAATGGCGACCGACCAGAGCGTGCAGCGCGCATACAAACTGGAATAGACGTCCCCATGGTGCCTTGAATGTGACGACACTTCTTCTGAATCGTGCATCGCGCATCTGACACAAAAGTTGCTGAATCCCACCAGCCCTCTGGGCATATGCGGTTTAGTGCATTAGCTCTTCCAACCTCCCTTTCTCCCTTCGGGGAAAGGTTTACATCTTGCCCTACCCCCTCTCCCTGGATGTGGATGGGCCGGGTCACGGGTCGTTGGGCCGTCCAGGATGGCCCCAATGTTGCCCCAGATAACCCAACATGGCCTCCACGATCGAACAAGATAACTCAGTATGGCCGATCATAACTCCCAATATATCTTCAAGCGACACCATGAGCGTCCCACGACGGCTCCAAGTGGCCACGGACCATCCAAGGACACCCCCGAGAGGCCAACATCCTTCCCAAACCGAAGGGACACATCAGAGTTTGTTTGAATCCTCGCCTTTTCGCTTCCGATGGACTCTTGAAGTCTCGGGAAGGCTCCAACATGGTGCCACCCTCTGTTTCATCGATCGCTTCCAAGATGGCCCAAAGGCCCCCAAGAGGACCCCGAGATCGCGCTGACTGGGCGGTCAAGTGGCCCAACTGCCAACAGGCCCCCACATCGAAGAGTACGCGAAGGCATCTGTGGTTGACTCCTGAGCCTGCTCAAGCTGATCCCGATTTTCGGTTTGACGGTTGCCCTGCCTCTTTGTTCCACTGCGTGCTCTCGTACTTCCTTGTTCAATGCAACTCGCCTGGGCAATGTCGTTCGGTCGGGTGGCGGGGAAACGCGATGCGTCGAGAATTGCGAATACGCGCAACACCCGCCAACTTTGTGAGGCAACATGGATACGCATGTCCTGGCCTATCAGGCCGCCCCTGGAGAAGACTTCCCAGGAGGTCCCAGGAAACTTCGAGGAGACGCCCAAGGAGGTCTCAAGCGACGCCCGAAGAGGCCAAGGACAATCAGGAACCCGAGGAAGTTCAACGAGTCATTCCTCCGAAGATTCTCGACCTGTGGGGGGGAACGATAAGCGGGGGCTGGCCCAAGCGGGGAAACATTAGTCTGGAACCATTGATGCATTAGCGACGGATCGGCGCCAGGCCCTGGACAGCGACACCACGCGCTCCTGGGCGGGGTGCGGGATTCCACGTCTCGCCAGACAAATTCGCGATCGGGGTTGAGCGCCTCCCCTCCTCTAGCATGAAGGGACGGAACCTGAGGGAAGCGAATCGTAAGTAACGTAGTGACGCCCGATAGTGCAGTGCATCGTTGTTAAGTGATGTAAGCGATGCGTGCGGTGTGAACGCCGTCACATAGGGCGGATGCGCCTGAACCGAGGGGTAGAAAAGGAGCGCGCTGCGCGCCCATGTCCCGCAAGTCATGTCCCCTTGCATTGTTTGGGGGGAGACAACGCTACACTCCGCGGCCGATGGCATCAAACGCAAACTAAACGAACGCTGCGTCGAGAACGCGCACCGGAAACAATCACAGTGCTGCGCGTGCCCGGCGGTAATCCCTGGGGTTTCCCATAGACTGCCGAGGCCTGACAAGAAGCGGACCGAGCGGACTCATTCCCCATACGACAGGCACGTCCTAACAGCCAGCAGGCCCCGAGGTCGGGGCTCAGGAGTATTCCTTACCGACGTCGCTTGACTGTCGCGGTATACTATGATGCGAAAAAAGGTATCGGTGCCTGTGTCGCACCACGCACTGAAGGCAACACTGTGGCCCGTTTCCGAACTGCATCTCGGCGGCGCTGCTCGAATTCGAACACTCGGACCGCACCTGCACTGGCAGGCGCTAACTCGCTTCCGGGCTCCCGAAGTGCGCCTAATCAAAAGGCGCGCGAGGAAACAGTGGCGACCTAGAAAGCAAGGTCGTCCGAAGAAATGCACTACGACCTTGACACTGCACTTATGCACCCTTGTCGCTTCGCATCTGAAAGGCATCTGGGGGAGGGAGAAGATTTGACGTCATATTTGCAGGACTTTCTGACATACATCACTTCCAGGGCGATGTCCCTGTCGAAACTTCCCTGTTGCGTGGACATCAGCAGGCATTTATCCCGCGTGTCACACGAATGAAAAGTATAGGCTGTATCCATTAGCTCACGTATCCAACTGATGCGAAATAGTAGCGAACGTGGTCGGATGATTGAGTTATCTACTGGTTAGGATTTGTATACAGATCCCGCGATGCCTTGATAGCCTGACCACCCATTCCATGTATATCGCGCAAAGATTCCAAGCGAAAGTGGCCCTCCTCGTAGACCATGGGACGTGCTGAGTGCAGGATATGCCTCGTCGGGGTTGCGAGCCGCTGCCGATATTTCAAAAACGCAACTGGACCTCCACTGAAGCCGAGAGAATTACACATGCCGTCTCGCAGATACGACAGGTGCGCCATCAAACAAGTGTCCTCGCCGGGACAAAACTGTTCTTTTAGTGCCGTCGCGTTTTGTCTCGCCATCCCCTCCTGCATCCAACTTGCGACGTCCAAGGTCGCTGCGAATGTTCGCCGCGCACGCCGCGATCCTCTTGGGGTCGCCGATAAGTTTCCACGCTGCAGCTTTCAAGCGACGAGCGCGGATCTGCGGCCCCCCCTGAATTTTCTGATAGAGAGTCACGCACGTAGACCATGGGCCAAACCTGCGCGAGGGGCGCGCGAGCTAGGGCACCGCGGATGCTGGCGAACGCGTTGGGGACATGTTTTGCTGCTGTGGCCTCAGCGGCAGCGCCGTTAATTCAGGGCGATGTATGGGTCGGAGCTGTCTGATGTGCTCATCCTGGTTCATGCCCGCATCCCGCGATCGCCATCGGCATATCGCGCGGCGGGGTCTTCAAATATGCGGACCGAATTTTCAGCGCCAAAATACAGGTTCAACCTGGCGGACAAAGTCGCCAATGTCCTTCTCCAGTCCAATCCGCATATTTGGCTGTGATAAGGTCCGGACAGAACTCATGTGCGGGGTCAACAGGTGGCTCGCGTGGTGTGGCGCAGTTCCAGGGCGGAAGCTCTGGGGGGCGCCCTTGGTGCCCGCGCCCGTTTCCAGCGCCGAAAGCAATAGCGACTGTCGTCGCCGCTTGCAAAGCTATACAGCGCGCGAGACTGGCGCGCTGCCCGGAAGGGGAGATGAAGCACGCCTCGCGAGTTTGCTGGCCGGCCGGCAGCAACCAACTCTTCGCGGGTGATGCAAATTTGCGGAGGCTTTGTCCACATCCATTGATGCTCATATCAACTCTGCGTGACATGCTGCTTCACCAGCAAGCAGTCCCTGTCATAGTCGGCGGGTATTTCCCGATAGTATCTCAATGTCGAATGCCTCGGTGTCCGTGGAGCCTCGGAAGACCAGGCGAAGACGGATGGTGCGCATTTGCTTACGTACCTTGCTCGTCATTTTCGATTGTCCACTTTTGCACGTAGCGAGATGACATCGCGTCGGAAGTTTGAACATACTCCAGGCAGTTGGTGTTCAGCCACGTCATGTATTCCGCGGGCGGGGCCTCGCTGACTTTGTGTTGATATTGCTGCAATGCCAGCTTTGGTCAGTAGGTGATCTTCTCTGGCTACAACGGCAAATTTAGCTTCAGCCGGGACGCGCGCGCGCGGATCGTCGCAACATCATCGCGCGCGGGCGTGTCTAGCTGCACTGGCGCGAGGATGTTTCGCCATGTGAGAGGCCAAGCACAATCCGAAGAGCTTGCCATGCCCACCCTTTTCCAATGGGCGATTATCATCAAAACCAAATGAGAAGAGAATGACAGCATAGCCCCCGCTATCATCCGGCTCGTTTCCAAGCATGAATTCAAGCTGGTCTCCCTGGTGGTCGCCGTGATGTTCCACCGCCGAGGCCAGGACGCACTGGTCTGGTGCCATGGTCGTTGGACTGCGGCAGATATCGTCGTCGCAGACGGTGGCCGGGCAAAGGTCTCGCCAATCTTCGAGCATCATGACATCAACATCGTGTTCCTCGTTTTCCTGATTGATGGTCGACAAACAGCTGCCGCCACGGTCAAGCCGCACAAGCGCATCGAGGTAATGACAGAGACCAGGTTGGTCCTTATTCGGCGGAGATTCTGCCAGCCCTTGGGATCTGGCAAGATACCAGTAGGAATGCGCGGAATTACTTCAGTATTTGCTGCGTTGGAGTAGACGAGACGGCGCGCGATATGCACCTCGCTCAAGCTGGAGACGTTGCACTCGCGGCGGGGAAGGTGGCTCAGATTTATGTCGTCGTCGCAGCGGATCAGCGCACAACTGGTCGCAGACTTGGCCGACGGGAGCAGGACTGTGACCTCCTCTGCCCTTCGATAGTTTCGGGCGCGATGCAAGGCCAGTTGTGCTCGTGGACTTCGCGCGCTTCCATCAGTCATGCAGTCGTTCGCTTTACCCTGGCAGGTTTCCCTGCGCCAAGGCTAGCGACGAAGGCGATGGCCGACAGCGTGGCCATATAATCCATGCCCAGTTCTCCAGCTGGCATAGCCTTGACGAAGAGCGAAGAGAATGCGATGGGCGCCGGGGTACCGGGCCACTACTGCCATAGAGGTAGCTCTGACTACGCGCCGGCCGCGTTCAAGCTCCAGCTGGAACGCAGGGCGGAGGCCGCTCCGCCCGCAGCGGTCGCCCTTCGCAGTCGCGGGTCGACGACGGTCCACAGTGTCCGCAGGTCCGCGTTGGCGCGCGCCGCTTGGGGGGGCGCTCGAGCACGCGCGGCGCTTTCATTGTCCGCAGCGGCTGCTGCCTGCGCGACGCCTTGCAAAATGTCATCTCGAATGCGTTTCCCGCCCTTGCGTCCACGAGAGCCCCGAGCCCTCGGGGAAATCCGGCGAATCAAATTCAAACAAATCGCAAGCTGACTCCCAGTGTGCCGAGCATGGCGACGTGCCGCTGAAAAACGCGATCGCGTTGCATGCGACGACGGCTTGGGCGGGCACGCGCGTGCAGGCTGAGGGGGCGTTGCATCCGTTTCTCCTCGGCCACGTGCAGGAGACTGCTCAAAACCTAAATTTCCGCCGCATGCTGTCCAGGCCCCCGGGTCTACATTGGCGCTCCTAGTTCCAGGAGGAAAGCTTTCCTTTTCAGGTCCTCATCGAGAATTCCCTCTCCTGCACTCACTCTCATGCGCGAATCGGTCACGGGCATGTGGGAAACGTTTGGTTCGGTACTCTGCATCTGCACTCGTCGTCGAATCTGCATCTGCATTCGTCGTCGAATCTTCCTGGCAGACTGACCGGAAGGAATGAATTGTTCCGCGTCGCGCCCAAGCTCTGCATTTCCCGGCGCGCGCCACATGCCCATCGCCAAGTTGGGCCTATCCTGGGCAGGCCCTGCGCTGCACGGGATGGCGCGAATATCTGGCCCCTTGCCTGGCTGCCACCGCAGGTGGAAACTCCGAAGCTCCTTTTCGCTACGCTCGGCTCGAAACTACGTAAATTCTGTGCGCTTACTTCGACGGAATCTGGTGGCCCACCATGTTCAAGGCCCGCGCGGGCACGCGGGTTCCTCGCAGCGCGACTCGGTTTTTCTGCAGCGTCGGGGGATGGGCAGGGGCGAGGGGCAATGACTGGATCCCGCCCCTCCCCGCAAGCACCTCAAGCTGTTCAGCCGAACCGCTCGACGGCGCGCCGACGCGCTGCCCCGATCCTCTTGCTTCCGTGTTTCCGCAGCCGGGCGCAGGAGGGGCATCGCGAATGAGGGCGTGACTGCCGGCCCCTGCCGCGGGATCGACTTGACCTTGCGCGCGTGGTCCATGAGGTCGGGAATGCGCCCCGTGCCTTCCCGATGGCGATGAAAATGGGCCACCGCCTGGCCCGGGATCGGAGGCCCTCTCCACGCCGGGGCAGTTTTCCACAGAAGAGGCACTGGCCCCCCTCAGGGTCGCGATCGCCCGGTAGTTTGACGGAGGCAGCAGCGCGGCACTTGCCGGGGGCGTCATCGAGACGACCCCCGGCACGTCTGGCGCTGTCTCTTGCAGGCTGGGCGCGGCCAATATGTGGACAAATTCATGCCGGCGGCTGTGTCGGGCTACGATTATGTGATGCGCTACCGCGCCAGCATCCCGCCAGTCCCTGCTCTGGTGCCGAGGTTATGCATGCGGGTGGGGGGGTATTCAAGCGCGGTGGCAACGAAAACTCTGAACCACAAGACATGCGGGTTTCCGCTCTGGTTATCCAATGCACTGGTCTTCGCATCTGCAGCTGCAAATGCCGTCTGTCGGCGTTGTGTGTATTCTTCTGATCCAGAAGTCTGCGCGGTAAGGCTGGGCGTGCCTAAATCGTTCGCCACATATGCAATTTCGGAAATGGTGTGACGATGGCTGCAATTTTGCCGGGGATGTCCGTAGGCTTCTTGACGCAATCCCCGTGAAACAACGTCCTTCGGACCATCGGCGCACAGGTCAATGTCGATCGCCATAAGACGCGGCCTTCCATGGACGATGCATTTGGCCCAACAAATGGAGAAACCATGGGCCCACGACGTCGTGTAGCTTGGAAATCTCAATCGGTAAAATATGGCAGATCATCCGCGCGGTGGGCCTGTCGGTGTTTCGTTTAACCTTGGAGTTGAGGTACGATCGCGGGCAAATTGTGATGCGGCTCGGCTGTGGCGTAACAGCCTGGTGCAGGATCATGTCCAACTGTCTCAAAGGATATCTCAGATCGTCGTCCGACGTCTGGCCAACCGAGCCAATCCGAGGTGAACGCAACTTCGGAGGTGCCGCCTTTCGTGCAACATGAGTCCAGCATGTCAACATCGTTGTTCGCACCCTAGCATGACAAAGCTACAATGGTGAATGCACATGTGCGCGTTTCCGTTGAGGGTCGCGTGGTCAGTGGTGGGAGCGGGTCATTTTCGCCGTCAGACGCGAGGCATTATACTGGGGCGCCCTAGTACCACACCGAGACGAGGTCTTCCCCACATCACGCAAGATCGCCGCCGCAATCGTCGCTTCCGGACGTCGTCTCCGATGTGCCTGTTCATGCGACGAAGTCAGATCGATCCCCGCTTCCTTCACGCATATCTCATTTTGTTTGGTGTGGGAAGCTGTTGTCAGAATTTCGATGTCCTCCTCCACTGGCTCTATGCCCATGATTATTGTGCGCCTCCTCGATCCCCAGATGCGGGGGGGAAACCGTCTTCTAAGTGGACGCGTTTGCGCGTCTTCGGTGATGGATGATGATCGCGTCCGAAGAAGATCGGGTCATCGGCCTCCCAATGCAACTGGGGAGCGCTGTTCAGCAGCCTGGGCGTCTTGAATCACTCCCTGTTTGTCCAAGTCATGCGTCGCACGGCGAACCGCGGACAACACTGGTCGAAAAAAATCATGTCGCATCGTAGGTTGCGCAAGCCCTTGTCGCAAGTGTCGGTTGCAATGGGGTCGGTTCCGTGCGTGGGGGTCGGTGTGCCAGCGTTGGCACATAAGGCCTTGTTGCTGAGATGCTCGAAGAGTTCGATACGAGATCGTCGCTATCATTCGGCGCGTCGCTGCGTCTTACCGCGCCCAAATGTCACAAGTTGTTTACCCACGGACTTACATTGCAGGTGTGGTTGAGGTCGTTGGAGCATGGTAGTAGCGAACTGCATGTCAGTGCCACTAGGCGCACTGCTCTGCAGATCGTGCCTTAGCCCGACATGGCACGACCCGCATCCATCCCACATGCGTCTCAATCTCCCCAATGACCACGGGCATGCGTGGTAAACTTTACGCACGCGCACCCAAGACGCCCAAATCTGATCACATACATACGCGACTTATTTCGCATCCGTTACCAGTGTGGTCGCATGCGCTTACCAGGGGCATGCGCATGCCAACCTGCCGGGGTGCTTGTCCAGACCATCGGGTAGTCACCCGATACCAAGAAACTCAAGTGCTCGGCCCCGACTGTCGTCAGTAGATTAGCTCATTCTGAGTGACGCGAACATAAGCGTGACCCCTTTGTGCGAGGTCTGCTCAAGCCTCACGTGTATCTCCGCATATGCAATCTATGTTGATATAAGGCCAGCTTCCTGGCGGGCGATCGCGCTCTCTGTAGGCCCTGCCGTCAGGCTGCTGCAAGGCGGCGCGGGGCTTGCCCCGCCCTGCCCCCCCCCCCCCCCCGCCCCACCCCACCCCAGCGAGAAATAGCCGCCGCGGCCGCGCCGACGGGCGAAGCGCGGCATTGAAGGAAGCGGCGTTGGCCTCCAAAGCGCGCGCCCGATCAGTGAACTCGCATTCGGCTGGCGCGACGAACCTGGACAATATCTTGCGACAGTCAAGCTAGTGCCGCACGGATACGCTTGGCGTGAATGTCGGGCTCCCGTTCCCGCGACGTTCCTGGTTCATTCGGTCCTGGGGCGCCTGTCATGATTCCACGTCGCCAAAATCAAAATCGAGTCTGCGAGCCGTTGCAAGGAGCGCGCTGGCTACGCTGATGCTTCCCCCTCCGACGCGTTGCCTCCGACAGACGCACTCGGCCCCAGTGCCGTGGTGATGTGCACAATTATGTCTTGGCACGCCTCCGAGCTGGCCGAGCATTTGACGGTCGTTTCCGCGCCGGCAGCGCCCTGGGCCAACCCCCCTGCAGTCGCCGCGAGGTATCAGGAGGTGACCTGGCGGCGCCTTCTCCAGTTGCAGCTCTTCAAGCTTAACCGAGCCATTCTTTCCTCGGGGATGCCATGCGCTCGCACCCAGGACCATGGCATCATCATCGCTCGCTTTTGCGACTTGCTGCCCGCCGCGCCCCGTCGCATGGTTCGATCTGCAGGGGTCGTATGGCGCGGCTCTCGTGCTTGCATGCGTGATCGAAGCCTCCGGTTTCATCCGCCGAACGCTGCCCTTTCCGACCCCAGTTACATTGAGTCGGGGTCGGTGTTCGACACCGCCCCCCCTATCGCCGCCGCCTTGCCGCGGAATTCGCTGGCGCACTGACCCCGATGATGATGGCGCGGGGTCCGGGCCCGAAGAGCGCGCTGCATCTGCTATCCGGCAGAAACTTTCTGGGCGGCTGATTGATGAGAACGTCTACCGAAACCACCTGATCACAATCATAACGAATTCACTTGCGTCGCTCTGTCAAAAACACGTCGGACCCTGAAACCAACCATAGATTGACATCGTCACATGTCGCAAAGAAAACGTCGTCATTCACGCCATTCGTCATGCCGGTCGTTTCAATTATATCAGGCAAGTTTACCCGCTGGCTACCCTGTTCATGAGCGTAGCCGCGATGGTCGCGGATCCGAAGCTGTCGCAGACCCCCAGCAGCAGCTGGGCGCACTGCCCCTTCGCCCTGCACGGTCATGCCCCTCATGAATGGCCGCCGCGGGGGAATTTTTGGGCGAGCCTCCGCGCTGGGAGATTGGGCGCGGCGCAAGGCATTGCGCGCGCGCCGCCAACTCCCGCGCCATCGCCCTCGACTCTCGGAGCTCCCGGGCACGAGAAAGTGCATCGTCGGCGGGTGATCCAGCCCGCTGAGGGACTGCTGTTATGATGTCTGGACCGCGGCATATGGCGCACTTTGGTCATGTCCTGGGCCAGGGCGCGGGTTGTCGACGCATGTTCGTGCGTTTTCCGCGAAAAAAAAACATCAAAATTGGAGGCGTGGTAACACGACGACCGCGCGAACTTGGCGCCCATCTCGAAGCACCCGAAACAAATTGAGCAGGCGGCATCCGTGCCCGAGAATTCTACCACAAGTTCCACATGTGGGGGTGGGGGGGCCTGGCAGGCCACAACCCCTTCAGCTTGATTGAACGGCGGGGGGCGCATTGGGCCGGATGCAGCATCGGCGCCCCAGCTCGTGACGCCGGGGCTGATGTCTTCAGCCTCCTGCTGGTTCCACCTAGATTCGTTTCCGAGCTGTGAAGCGCTCAGCCATGGGCCACTGCTCACCGCGAGGCTGCTGGGAACAGCCAGCCCTTTTCCACAACCATTGGCGCTGAGAGCGAGGTGTCGCTGTCGATTCTACTCTCGCAGCTGCCCGATGGCCTGGCGGCGCCTTGTGCTGGCATGCTGGGTCTGGTATCCCCCAGCAGATGGTCTGTGATAGGCCTGCTGCCAGTCAGAGAGAACGCAACTGGCGGCCAAATCGGCGTCGCCGCGCGCGTCGGCGGAGGTCCGACGGGCGCCCGCGGCATCCTGGAGGGATCGCTCCGCCCAGCGACCCCCGCGGCGTGCGCCGGTTCCACCGTCGACCGGACGCGCAGGTTGCGGATGTGCCCCCGCTGCCAATTATCAATGCGCCGCTTGGCCTCGACGTGCACGGGGGGCGGCCGTGCCGGGTCCCCGCGGAAACGTTGCTGCCGGAGTTTCATGAGTCATTGGAGGCCGGCATGTGCAGACGTCTGTTCTCGGCCTGGGGGTCAGGTGTCCCGCCCCGCCTCAGCTCCACGGCGGGGCCCGACCGTCGTCCTGCGTGGGCGGTGATGCAGGCGGCGCATGCCCTCGATCACAGCCGACATCATTTCCCGGAGCCTGCGTTCCAAAGCGTCCATCGCTGGATCGGGCCCTCTCGGCGCGCCCCCGTGCTGGCTGGGCCAGCCACATCGCCGGAATGTCCCCCGATGCTGGCGCGTGCAAACCGAGCGCCTGGCTGCTGCCGAATGGCTCGACGCATCCTGCGCTAGACGGAGGCCGCGGGCCTGGCATCTGCGGGCGCGCGGCATGAGAGGCGCGCGGCGGCGGTGCAGCCATCGCCCCAGCTGGCGCGGCTCATGGATCGCGGCGGCGCAGCACGTCGGCCAAAATCTGGTCAGACCCTGCAGGCATACCTCCAGCGTCGCGCGGCGTAGGTACCGAGCGCGAGGCGCCCGATCCCGCAGGAACGAATGGCCTGCATATTGGGTGCGTTCCCGCACTGATCTCGCTGCCGTCGCGGATGTCTGCAAGGGGGGGGCGGCCTGCTTCCTCTGCGGTTGCCGTGGAACTTGTCGTTTCCCCGCCGCCCCGCCTGCGCCGCGGCTGTCGGCTAAGGCCCCGCATGGTCTACAACTTGGTCGCCTTTCCGACGGGCGGAGGGAGTCAGTCCTCGCGCCGCTGGAGCGGGGGGAACTTGCCATCGTTTCCTGGTGCGTCCGACTGCGCAAGATCGCACAACGAACTCAATCAATGCACGGATTTCTGTTCGGGGCATGGTTCCCGTTTCACTTTCAGAAATCAGCGCCCCGTTATTGGCGTAGCAGAAGCTGGTTCCCTCATGTTCCACCGCCGCGCGCCAATCCGCACTGGCGGCGACTTCGCCCCCCCCCCCCCCTCCGCCCGCTCGGCGCGCTGACCGACCTCAAATGGTGCCATGTGGATGTGGATCCAATTTGTACATACTAGCCCGCTTACAGCGACACAATACATACCGACATGGCACGAGCCATTGATGGCCGCGTTTGGGCGAGCGGCTAGCTCAACTCGCGAAGAAATTCACGTTGGGCCTGCGGTCTCCACGAATGACCTTGAGACCAGTGGATGAATAGTGACTGTCGTTCCCCCTCCAGGTGTCAGATCTTCAATGGATAGCGGTATGCTTTCTGGCTCGTGACCAAGCGGGAGTGGCGGTCGACGGTGATGTTCATGTTTGATGTTTAAACGCGGTACATAACATCGCCGTGGATCCGCGGCTGCCCCCCCTCATGTTGGCCAGGGTGAGGGTGCAACTGCTGTTTTCGTAACTGCAACGTTGATGTAAATCGCATCCGACACATCTACCCCTGCGTCGTGGTCGGTCTTCTGTGCGTGGTCGCCGAAGCGGTTGATCGGCGTCCGCCCGCGCTGACTCGGCGCGCGGCGTAGTAGATGACTGAGAGCAGCTAATCTGATCAAGCCACCCCCCCTCTGACCCGCCGCGTCGTTGATGGCCGCCGCGCCGACTGATTTGAACGGCGCCAATGTTCGCGACGCGAGGCGCTCCTATTTCACCTGCAGACTGCCAGGCGCACGCATTGAGTCAGGCGGCGCGCGTCCGGCCCCTGGGCACGCGGTGCCGCGCTGGCTCCAGGACAGGCCCCGGCCGATCGTTTCTCCCGGGGGGGGCGATTGGCGACCTGTGGTTGGGAGCTGCGCGGGAAGGGCCCGAGGCGCCCGAGACTCGGGGGCCCCCTCAAGACGCGGGGCCCCGCCGAAGCGGCGATGGCTCGGGGGGGGCGGCCCTGCTGCGGGGGAACCTCCCAGCGAGGGCGCTCGTGTGCCGCGGTGCGTGGAATCCTTCTTTCGGTGTGCTGCGCCGCCCTGCGACGTGGCTCGCATGTTCTGGCAGTAGTCGCTCATCGAAGTTCTCTGACTCTGACGCGGCGCCCCGCGACCTCTGCGGCTGCCCGCCCGCGTTGATGGCCGACGATTCTTCGTCGCGCGAACAGCTGCGCGCGGGGGCCTGCGCGCCAGAAAGCGGCCCAAATATCACCCTCTGATCGGGTAGAAATGTCCTCACCTGTGTCGCCGCTGCTGGATCGCGCCGAGCGCCCCGCGTCGGCGCCCTAGAACCACTGGGCGAGGGCCCAAGTCTAGTCGCAGGACTTCTCCGTGAAATCGCGGCACCGTCCGAGACCCCTCTGCCGCGCCCAGGTCGTCGATGGGCGGGCTCGCAGAGGGCGACGCGGCAACCGGCGATTTGGACTTCGGGGGGGCGACGGGGGGGGCCCTCGGTGGACCCCCCCAAAAAAACGCCACCTCGGCGGCCCTGCCGCTGGCAGCGCGAGCCGCCCCGGCAGATCGATCGCGCGTCTGCTCGGGTCGCCCGCGCGCGCGGTCCGCCAGCGGCCGCGCCCCCGTCGGCTCGATGGTTGCCCCATCCTCGGATAGCAAGCGGCGCTGGAAAATTGGCCAGTCAAGTGGTCGATCTTGATCGGGACCATCTTCGTTTCCCCCCTTCTTCGCGGCCACGTCGACCGCCGCGGGCGCGGTGCCGTCTGGCGCGGCGGCCCCAGATCCAGCTGCGCAGCTGCCGCTCTCGCGGATGTCCGATCGTGGGAGCTCCGCCCCGACCAGGGCAGCCTCTGTCTCCTCCTCGGACATCGGCGTCGGAACTGGGCCGTCGCGCGCCCGGGGGGAGGGCCCGCGTTAGAGCTGGGGGGCAGACCGTGGGCCGCAGCGATGGACATTGAGGGCCTCGCGGGACTCGATGCGTTCGACCCTGCCATGGTTGAAATGCGGGCGTCGCGGCCTCGACCCGCGGACGGCGCGGCCGCGCTCGCCCCGGCGTGCGAGGGCGCCCGCGCCGACGGTTGAACGATGACCGCGCCGCCGTTGATCAGAAACTGAGCGAAGGCTGGCAAATCCGCGGCCGCTGAAACAGCCCCCCCGGGAAAACGGGCTGCCCCCCCGAAGAGGAAAAACAATTTCCCGGAGCTCCATTTTCGCATCCACGGGTTCGATGGCCTTCGCCTGACTTCTCAGTTGAGGGTCGTTGCGCGCAGGCAGCTCGCCTCCGCGCAGCCGCGCAGGTCGTCGACGGATGAGGCTGATTTAGATGCGGCGGCAGCTGCCGCCGAGGTGAAGCTCGATATCGCGGAGGCGGCGTCTTCGTCGACAGGCTCGATCTTGTCGGCCGTGAACGCGGAGATGCCTCGGCGTCTTGCGTGCACAACTCGCCCCCGTAGTCGTCCGCGAGCGGGGCGTCGCCGGTCGCCGTTGTCGCGCTTGTCGAAGCAGCTCCAGGTGTGGAACCAGGCTCGTCCCCGAGCGGTGGCGCGACTGACTTCGCGTCATGATCAAAAGGCGTTGGAGATGTTGGAGCGCCGCAATGCGTCGGAGCTTCGCGTCCGATCGCCGGCGAAGGCGCTGCGTTCGCCCCCCCGCGGCTCGCGGCGATGGCAGTGCCCTTTGCCTGTCGCCGCCGGCACCGAGCCAGGCGGCAGCGGCGCCTGGCTCCCCGTCCGCGCCCGCAATAGCAGGCCACCGCCGCGGCTCGTTCGACTGGGACGTCGGCGTCGCAAACGACGACGCCCTGTGCCAAAATAGCGTTCTGCTCGACGGCCTCCAACTCCGAGAGGTCCGAGCATCGCGTCGCGGGGCCCGCGTCGAAGTCGACGTCGCCGCGCGCTCCGCGAGGTAGAGCAAGCAAATTTAATTGCTGACCGTTCCCCGTTTCAACATTTTCCCGCGAGGCCGGCGTCGCCGCGTCGCCGGAACCGCCGAACATAACGTAGTCGTCGTTCCTGGAGATCCACCCCCAAAGTGCCAACTCGATGTAATTGACCGCGCGGTGATGAACTCGGACGCCACCCCATAGGCGCGATGCTGCAATTTGTCAAGGCCACCGATGAGATTGTGACACGCGAAACAAAAGAAATCCAAACTGTGGGAACCTTCGACAAACAGATGCTGCATGGCGCCCTCAATGCTCAAGCTCAAAAGAGCGCCGGAAGTGGCGCTCCCGCCATCGCCCTTGCCTCGGGGCCCCTCGGCAAAGCGCATGCCCCCGCCGCGCTCATCGCGCGTGAGGGCGCCCCTGTCGGGGCCCCCAGGATTCCATTGTCTTCCTTCTCCTTTCCCAGAAGTCCTGCGGCCTCGGCCCTCCCCCCCTCATGCAAAACCGCGTTGCGCTGATTGTATGTGAGGCGAGTGGCGGATGAAGCAACTCCCCGACAGCGCAGGCGTCTCCCCCCTCCTGCACTTTCCTCCAGTCATCCTCCTGATCTTGCGCCTGGCCCATTGTGCTGGCTTTCGCGTTGGCCTCCTGTGCCTGCGCTTAGCTCGTGGTAGCAGCCAGAGAAAAGTGCCCCCCTGTTGCTCGTGTGTCTCCATGCTGTTACATCGGTCGAATCCACGACGCCGTTCGACGAGATGCCGCAGGTGTCTGTTCCCGCGTCGAAATCGGAACTGGTAGCAAAGGATCGGATGTGGGGGGCTGCTTCACCGCGCAAGTTGGCGGCGCGTCGAAGGCGCGCCGATGTGCGTGGCGCGTTCCAGTGTGACGCGTTCAGTTGTGACGGGTCAGTATTGCATTCGACGCCTGAAATGGAGCCAATGTCGCACTGACTTCGTCGCCTGCACCTGCCCGAACGCTGCAAGTCGGCCCGATTCCAAACTCCACTTTGCCAGCGGCGAGTGTTTGCGTGTATTGTGCAACAGTGCTACCACCACCTCCTCGTCCCCTGCCAAATACTGGCATGATATGTCCCGGCGAACGTTCTGCGGCCTGTCCTACAGCAGCGCGCGCTGGGTGCCTACGCCAAGGGCGCGGAACATAATTGTGGTCAGGAAGAGCACGCTGGGGATGTCAAGTGTTGCCGATTGTGTTTCCGACCGTGCCATCTCGAACCTGGCCTGGGTTTCGTGGATACGTTCTTTGTGCGGAGCAAGGAAGTTCATCAATTGAGTACATGGAGCGCGCTGTCGCTCATCTTCAGGATGCCCGGTTTTCATGTTCAAATGAACCTGCTGTAATTTGCGGGGCGGGTCTGTGTACCACGTAATTACGCACCGACGTTTAGTATGTCAGGTGGTACGCGCGTGGCGATATTCCCAACAAGGCCCCTCGCCCCTTTTGGGGGCCGCTGCTTGTGGTGGGTCGTGCGTGGCCAGTAAAAACCAGCCAGGCGTTCACTTCATACCAACTTTCTCGAAATGGTCCAACAGGGAGGGGCATTGCTGTCTCATCCTCCACCACGATGCATGTACGTTGTGGCGGACCATACGCGCAGCACAAAATAATCGCAACATGTTCATGTGTGCATGGTTTTTGGTTGGGCGCATATCTGCGCTTGGGGTCAGTCGCAGCGGGCGGAGTAAGGCGATTCAATGGTTGGGAGCTATCCAATCCATCTTTCGAGGGTCACATCAGTTTGTATTAATTCGGAACGTTTATAGACTTTACGCCCATTTTGTTGGAATTTCGTCGGGCCTTGTAGGCTCTTGATGGTTACGCTTGTGTCCGAGCTCCGCTCGAATCGATCCCCGCAATTGTGAATAAAGTTTGGGTTCAGGGTTGGAGAAAACAACGGTCGCGTAAATCGTACCGTGGACTAGTAGAACGGGAGCAGGAGCCAACCACGCGAGAAGGCGACCAACTCCACAACCAAATCGAAAATGACGTGGTAACGTCAGATTGTACGTTGTAGACAAAATAAAGGATGGTGGAAAAAACGGTGAATATCCGGTTCCTCTCAGATAAGGCGTCGGGTATGTACGCCGTCATATAGGCTTAGAGGCCCGCGCCACATGGGGCAAAAAAAGACTGCACTGCATGCGCGTGTACCCCAAATCATGTCCCCTTAATGCGAACGGGGCCAACACCCTGGAAACACTCCCCAGTACCAATTTGCCGTCCTGAGTCATTCTCTGACGTCCCTAGGACCCCAGGATGGCCCGGACAGGGCCCGAAAACGGACAACAAAAACAGGATCCGTGTTCCTCAACACCCATCTCGTTCGTGGCGACTCCTGGGCCAGCCCCCCCTTCCCCTGTCGTGGAGGTCTCCCAGATGGCGTCCGAGTGGGTGGGGCCGGAGGAACGCACCGCATCACCAACGCATCGGCGATGCATCGGCGACGTCGGCGATGCATCGGCGACGTCGGCGTGGAGAATCGGGCTACACATCCAGCCGCATCGCCGTCTCGTCGACGACGCGGAATGAACTGCGCCTGGGCCCCCCCCGCCCCCAAGAGGGCCGCAGGCCTCGCAGGTGGCCGCGGCCCGCCCGCGTGCCGCGCGGCGGGCTCGCAGGGGGGGGGGGAGCTGCGGCCCCACGGGCGGGCCCCCCTGCTGAAAGAGGCGGCCTCCGCGAGCGCCCACGCAGCTCCGCGGCGGCGTCACGCCCGATCCACCCTCTGGTCCCGGGCAGGGATGGAAGAGTGAGGGCCGCCTCCTCCTTCTCCCCCCCCCCCCCCCTTTTCTGCCTCTGATCCCCCCTCCCTCCTTCACCTCAGGCTCAGGCTGGTGGCAGGATCCCCCTGCACCTCCTCGGCCCCCGCCTCCTCCCCCGTCCCCCTCCGCGTGCTCCTCCTCCTCCACTCCTCCCCCTCCCTCCAGGTGCTGCCACTTTTGCCTGGCGTGACCGCCCCTCCTCTAACTCCAACGCATCCTCCCCCTCCGCATCCTCCTCCCCCCGTCTCCCCTAATTACCCCCTTTCCCCTGCCTCCTTTCCTTCTGTGTGCTGTCACTTCTGCAGCGCGTATCTGCCCCTCGCGTGACCGCCCCCGCTGTCGCTCTCTATCTCTCTCTCTCTCTCTCTCTCTCTCTCTTTGTCTCGCTCTAGCGAGCCAGTAGGGTCTCTCTGGGAATGCCTAAACATGCAGAAAACGACGTACTACTATTCACGACAGGCCGAATCGCTCGTTCTGGCCTCGCTCTCCCCCTCCCCCTCCGCCCCAACGGAGAGATTTTAGACAACATTGATCTTCGTGCTTTAATTGTCCGCCCTTGGTTCTCGTCCCGTTGAGCTTCGCTTTGCTGCCTCCGTTCCCGCCTGGACATCGGTCCGATATCCGGGCAGCCCATTCACTGGAGCTACCAAGCAAAGCCTGGCCCCCTCTGGGTCGCCAGCTTTGCTGAAGACGTGCTTATGAGGTCCTGGCATCTTCACCTCGGCATTTGCCCACGGCCCACTCGCTGATGGCGTGCCTCGCGATGACTGTCGTCGCTGTCTCACCTTCGGCAACTTGCACTGACCCGCACCTCACTGGACATGCACTAACTGCCGGTGCCTGAGGCTGCCTGCGCGCTCCCGCAATACCGACTCTCTCGGCAGTTCGGGTTTCCTTTACCCCTCTGCCTCCTGTCTTAGTGTGCCTAATGCCTTGCATGGCCCGCTGGCTATACAGACGACGCTGGCAGCGCTGCGGACAGACATGTTTTCGGGTTTCGATGCCCGAGCTGTGATGGGATCATGTTCCAGTTAGTGTTGCACTCGACATGCCAAGCTAATCTCTCTCCCCCACGCGACAGCTTGGGCAAACTACCCCGACCCTTCAACTTCTAGATGCCCACGAACACACTAACATATGGCAATGATGCTACAGCATGGGCTGGCGGAATGCGCGAGGCGGTTGAATGAAACAATCTCTCATTGAGT